CTTCACATTTCAAACCACCCTCTCTAATTAACTCTTTTCAACTGAACTACCAGTGTCAATATCACTGGCTCATAAAAAGGATTAAACATCCTTGCAATGAGGAAATGTACTAATATGAGGATAAATAAACACTACAATTATACAACTTATTTATCTACATATTTAATGTATATCTTCCCCTGAATTTATGTTTAGTGTATGCAAAGTGACTCAGTTTGAGCACAGAGTTTGATGAAAGCTTTCATAGATGTAATTCTCCCTACATTTTGTTGCTTTTCTTTATATAGGAACTAGCTACATCAACAGTTTTTTTGAGAAAAAAACTCTATTTTGTCAAAGGTAATATAGTACAAATTTAAATTCTTCCAGTTTATCATTATCAGATAAAGGTTAAAGCCATTATTACTACCTGGTTTACTTGCTTTTTCCCCTCCCGACAAAATAGTTACGCCACTATCACAAGACCTTCACAAGAAAAGAGGTAGTAATTGTGACCCAACTGCATTACTCAACTGAGAGGCACAAACATAAGCTGTTACAGTAAACAAAGGCTGCAATTCATCTACATGAGTAAAGCACAGCCTTTGTCCCTCGGTGTGGGAGCAATTTGTACCCAGCTTACATACTTCCAGTCTTTATAAGAATGTCAACTTAAACTATAATAATTCTCCACCTGTAAAACAGGGCTGTGAAAATGATTTATCCCTTAAAGATATCCTTTGTTTTTGCTTATACCTCATATTTAGTTTTTTGTGATATTCAAAAACATGCTTTTTAAAGCAGAAAGATGTCCTAGGTTAAAACAAAATGTGGTTTTCATGTGAGGATATCTGTTTGTGCCTCCCCATGGCAGCAAGTACCACAGGTTTTATTTTGAGAAAAAAAAAAGTTAAACAATTAATTTGACCAATAAAACTAAATTGGTTAAATATTGTTGTGCATATTGGGAGTTCAGCCGACAATGTTCAAAACCTTCCTTAAGGTTCCTAATAATCAGGAACCATAAGGAAGCCCGGAATGCAATTTGATCACATACGTCTTAAAACAACATACTCTACACCATGCAGCCAACAAAACAGGGTTGGATTCAAAAAGGTTGTCCCTGAGAGTAAGGCATTGCCAAACCACCTTTTGCATGTATTTCCATAGCTTGGCTATAGAAGAGGGAAATAGGCTTGTATCCTCACATAATGCCACAGAGAAACTTCTGCATATTCTGCAACACAGAAATGAAATAAATACAATGAAGCCAATTAAGCAACTGCAACCTTTTGTCAAATACATTGTAGAACATATTCTGTTTCCACAACTTAGCTTATAAAAGCGACCTTTTACAAAAAAGTCACTGTTTTGTAAAATCTATCTTTTGGTAAAAGCAACCTTTATTTACAAAAAGGTAGCTTTTATATATATAAACAGTACATCTTTAAACTGTCACCATGTCCAGTTTAAGGGATGTATTTAAACTGTAGAATATGAAGCAGATCAATCAAGCTTCTCCGGCTCGTCAAAGTAGGCCTGCAGCCATTTGCATAACATCGCTCCCATTCAGAAACAATCAATCAGCACCATAAAAAAAGTTTTAGCAGTGTCAGTCATGCACGTGTAGACTATAACAATGACATTTTGGTGTGCAAAAATTTGCATGCTAATGTCATGCTAATTTTTTATGAAAATATTTTCAACTATATGCACCAGCATTGTCCTGCTACTTCACCAGTACACTCAGAAAATATTGATACTCACCATGTTCTCTACCTCCCCTGCTCAGAGGCTCAAAAGGTGGTGCCTGCACAGATGTATTCGCTACACCCTACTTATATTGTTGCATTATTTGAGCCCATTTTCCACTAAGCTCTGACATTAACAAGTCATTTTTACACCAGAATTGCAGTTTAGTGGACATTGGCTTTCTTTGATGAAGCCTGACAACGGCCATGTGTTTGGCTTAGTTGTCAGTTTTGTTAACATGCATAAACCTAATCAATTGTCTGGACAATGTAAAGGTGTTAAAGTGTATTTGTGCTTCTCTGGATTATTCTTTTTTAAAGCACAATCGATTTATCTGGAAGAGACGGGGTGCCCAGCCTACATTTCTCCTTGTAGAGGCTACAGGATAACACAACTTCAGGTAGCAGGAAGTAGATTGTATCTTTGTTAGGGATGCTAACAAAATGATATCAGCTTCAGCAGTATGAGTGGATAACATAAATAAAAAAAAAAAATTACAATCAAATCTCTACTTTCTGTGTTTGTTCAAGCTACCATTTTCAATGTAGAATGATCAGCTGCTACATTGCATCTAGTTGTGCAGCAATTGACCAACATTTAATTTGTAACTCATATTTTCTAAGACTCTTCATACAGCCATCAAGGCTTGAGAACAGAAGAAAGACTCTCCGGTAGCAGTCAGTCTAATAATGAATCTGAAGAGGCTTCTGACTGAAGACTCTTGCTATGACAGTCTTCTGACTGTCATGACTTGTTAACGGCACAACTGAAGAATTATAGAGATGTTACAAAAGTTGTGGTTCAAACGTCCCCTGAGCCATTTCATGCGGAAACCATTTAAGTTTCTGCAGTTATTCCATCTAATTTTGCACAAATTGAGAAATTGACGCTTTTCATTTGTAGTATTTGATCCACACCAAAAGTACCCAGATGCATAGTACAGTTAATGAAATCATTAAATTAATTTCCAACTAGATCCAGTTGAAATATACAGGCAATAACCAAAATGTACATCTATTGCACTAGCCACTAAAGTTACATAGATACTTTTTGGAAAGAGATTATTTAATTATGCACAATCACATGGAAAAAAATAACCTCAGACATTAGGTAATTAAATAATGTCAATTATTTCTCTTTTGATTAAATTTTTCCCTCTCTGAGATTCTCTGAGCTGCCTTGAGATTCTCCCTGGAAGCAACATATCAAAATGTTCATGAGGCGAGTAAGGAAAAATAGAAGGTGACATGCTGTATTGAGCTGTCAAGCTTTCAGTCTAGCAGATTACTGTTCATGGCTGAGCTGAAATGAAGCATTATGAACACGCTTTGGTATGAAAACAGAGCTCAGTTAGACAGGAACTTAAACAATTGTTCAGTAATGAGACAAACGCACCTTGACGGCTCATAATGGAGAATAGCAAGCCTGGGACAGAGAGCTCAGTGAGGAATATTGAAATGCATCTCCAGGCATTCAAACCCCACTAAGGAAATTTGTGGATTTGGCAGATTTGAATTGCATCTTGCATCCTGTAGGTAAATATTTTCATTGAAAGAATGGATTGATTTTTGTTAGAGACCTGTGGGGCTTTTCAGTCAAAGAGAAAAATATATGCAGTGCATTACATACAGCAACACTGCTGTGATGAATACTTGATAGAACATAGGCGGACATGACAGGAAGACAGGTAAGAACTTGAAAGTTCATGTTTGCACACACAAAATGTTAGCCAATAAGAGTGATGGTGATTCTGATCTACTAAAGGCAAGTAAGTATTCAGAGTATTCAGCCAATGATCTGCCGCTTAACAGTTTCATGTTACGCCTAAACTGCTAAGTTATAGTCACTGATGCAGAAAGTAAGCATGTATGTGCTACATATTCAAATTACAACCAGTCAATGAAAGTTGCAAAAGTATTAATATTAATGTTTTCAACTTGCGTTGAGCATAATGCAGAAGTTTAGCAGAAATTTTAAATATTAAAGTAGGCGACATGTTATTACAACTCCTCCACTCCCTCTCTTAATTTGTAAACCCTTTTCAAAACCATGCTTAAGCTTTCTTCCACTTATTGCTCTACTAGATAAAATTCCAGTAAAATAAACACCAATTTGTGGTTGCGTAATAAAATATGAAGAATCTGAAATAATTTTGCATGGAACTGTGGGTACAACAAATGACTGTAAATATCTGAGTAGTATTGGATAGAGGAAGATGAACTATCACCACGGTACCTTAGTAATCTGAACAAATATGCCAAAAGGGTTTTCATTCAAATATGCATATATTTTCTTAATATGTGTGATTCTGCAAGTCTGCAAAAGGAACTTAGCGTAAAATACAGTTTTATACTATTTAAAAAAAAAGTCCAGCCTCACAAATTGATTTCTAACTTGAATTTTGACATTGTGTATATTTCATATGAGAAGATTATAACACTAATTTTTCTTTGTGTAAATACCAGTTGATATTAGATAAAGAGCCACCAAAATAACTGGTTTTCTATAAAGCAGTGGCCACATTTTAAGCTTAGCTTAACCTTTTTCTCTTCTCAGTCTCTCTCTTTCTCTCTGACTCCAAATTCCCAGCATGGTTTCTCCCCTTCACCGATGCTTTAAGCTGAATTGCAGTCCAAGAGAAAATAGGATTATAAAGTCTGGTCACAGATATGGCTTCTCTCATCTTAAGATGAAACTGTGCTAAATACCGCTCAGTATGATCCCATTGTAGGGACTCCATAAGACCAGCTGTCAGAACTGAAAAGTCTTTGTAGTCGACGGGGGGAGGGGAAGGGTCCTGTCATCAGGTTCTCATCTGGATACACACTGGAAAATGTGGATGTCAGATGGGTCAAAAGGATGATGTCTGCTTGGGTGGCACCGTGAGCCTCTGTTGCTTCTGCTCCAGTGCCAACCGCACACATGTCAGTTTATTTCTATCTCTAACCGACTGATTCATGTCTACCTGCAGGCCCGCAGGAGGAGGGGGGGCATTGTGGGTAATAACGATGACTCGGCTCTAAAAAGGAGGCAGAAGATGGAAGGGGGATTAAAAAGAGGAGCAGAAGTCAAAACTAAACTTATTGTGTAATATTTATTGAGAGAAAAACAATATTTATCATATTGATATTCCTGACTGCAAGAAGGGGACCGAAGCTTTCAAATCTTTCCTCTACTGTAGCTTTCTTCTTGCCTTCTATTCAGTTTGCAATTTATGTCAGTGAATTAGATCAACTTGTTATTGTAAGGGTAAAAAGTAAAAACAAAACTTTAAAGTTGAAAAACTTATGTTTATTTTTGCTCTTAATCTTAATCATTCAATATCATTTGAACCAAGTTCTAGAAACAAAAAAACAGTATGACAGGAGTTTATACTTCTTTACAGCAATTTACTCAGTATCTACTATCTAGTCAAATTATTTGATTGATATCATTGTCTCAATCTAGACTAATTCTCCTCGTAATTCGAAGGGTAGATCGTAATCCCGCTCTGGTTGTTGATTATTCATGAACTGCCCGTCTCTCTTGAAACCCTGTCAAAAGAGAGAATACAATTACTGTGGAAAATGATTTTTCTCATTAAAAACTAATCTACCTATCAGAATAAGATAATCTGAATAAATATATGAAGGGAAAATGTTATCCATAGCAACCTGGTTACACATAAAAAATTGTTCTGGGATCTTGTGTGACATCTTTGATGAGTTGCCAAAACACTTCCAGGAAGCTTCTCTCCTGCTTCATGTTTTTTTTTTCCTATTTGGAGATTAATGGTTCTCCCTTTACTTCACTCGAGTCACAAAATTATACAGCTTTGTAGCTTTAAAATGGAGCTTGTGGTATTGCTTTTTGAGACTTGGTCTTATTTTCCACTTCATTTCTACTTTATCTGAAAGCTTCTGTTTAAGTTACTTTATGATTCTTCAAGGTTTCATGGTACATAGGTTTGGTGTTGTCAAGTAAAATTAAACTCAACTTCCCAAAAAATTACAGTAGGAGCAGGTTGCTTTTGATAACATTTTCCTCTAAAGTGAAATACTTGAGAAGGTGTTTTTATATTAAAATTTGCTTAATATAAAGCAAAAAGCCAAAAAAAACAAAAAAAGCAAGAGAAATGTGATGTAAAAGCTTTTTTTTATATTTTAGTAATGCATTAAATATTTTAAATGTATTTGTTATGTAAGTGTTCTAAAGAGTTTTGTTTCTTTTTTGTTTTTTTCAAAGACCTGATGGTGGGTTGGTGACCTCCAGTCCTCTGCTTGCTGGATCAGTCTGTGATCAGAGAAAAGTGGACGGTGGGCTGGAAGAGAGGAAGCCAGTGTGTCCTGCCGCACTCTTCTGTCACCCACGTCTTCATACAAATGGCTTTCAAAGTTCACAGGAACAGCACCTTTAACAGACCAAACACAATCACAGCATAAACACGGATTAAAACATAAATATGGATCACTATAATTTTCAGTGTTTGCCTAAAAATAACGGTCTCTTTTCACTCTCTGCTCGACAGAAAGTAAGGTGATTGCTTATGCCTTGGTAAAGCAAAAGTGTTTGTAGTGTCTCACCAGGGTCATGCCTGTCCTCAAGATGTGGACCATGGTAGTGTTTATAGTCACCAGTAGGATAATGATAATGGGAGTCTTCCTGAAACTGATCAAATAGACAACATTTCATCAAATAAAGCATCACAAACCATTTCCACATGTCAGTAGTTCAAAGGGATTTTATGTTAATGTCAAAATAGTCTAAAGGAAATTCTAGTACAAATATAGTCCAAAAATCTGTCAACACACACAAAAAAATCTGAGCTGTATTAGTTAAAAAAAGAACTGTAAAAAAATAATAAAAATATATTAGTTTTTTTTTTTTTTTTTTTTTTTTACATATTTTTTTACCAGAGGTGCCAATAAATGTTTAGGACACCCTATAAAGTAATGAGGGATAATGTTCAAAGAATGAAATGCTGCAGTAAGATTTTGAGAGATACTATGTCAGTGGTACATCTTAGGGCATAACCATATAAAATACAATGTTGTTTATCATACAAAGCATCCAGATATTGCTGAAGGTAAACATGCTTAAAGTCAATTAAAGTGAGGTGAGCTCTGCCTTCATGTGTATTTCTGAACCGACTCTCCTCTGACTGCACAGCCTGATCTGTTTTCTTTTACCTCAATAAACTGTTTTCTTCAATCTCAAATCCTTTTTGGCCTTTTAAAAGAACAAAATGATCATTTCTCCGAGATCAATGTGTATTTTGAATGCTAATTGTGGGCTATTGATCAATGTTCCATCCCTGCACACAACCAGAGGTTTCATTAGTTTATTTATCCCTTTTCCTTGTTATGGCTGAAGCCTCCACTTCCTTTGCTGCTAGATCTCTTCACCCTGTGCCTAACCTCTTTCCTCTACTCATCTGTTTCTTGGTGTCTCTACAGATCATCTGTTGCCCTTTTCTCTCCCCCCGTCTCCTCCTCCCTCTTTCTTACCGCTGTGTAGCTCTCGTAGACGTTGCTCCCTGTTTCAGATCCAGTGTCAATGAGGAGGGTGCGTTGGGCTCCGGTGTTGATTTTTTCTCTGCTCTCATACTTATTGGAGTTGCTAGTTGATTGACTTGACCTGCATGTAGAAATCAGAGCTTATCTACTTCATGGTTATACTGCTGATAATTCATCCCAAGTGTGTATAAATGGACATACTAACCACACAGTTCCCATAGAAACTTATTTCTAATGAACATTTGGCCTTTCATGATTACTGCAGGGCTTTTGAAATAAAGTATTGAGTCTCATCATAATTACAATTATCAATGTTTTCATTAAGAATCTGGTGTGGACAATCACAAAATACTGTGTAATGATAAATTACAAAAAAAAATGATACATGGATTTCAAAGCTTGTAAAAATAAAGCAAGAAGAGGGAAACATGCACTTAAATTCTGTCGCCCTGGGCCTTTACTTTATAGAGGCTCCTTTCACTGCACTTACAGCTGCAACTAATTTTGAGCATCCGTCTATGAACTTTGCATAATCCAGAAAGGTAATTGTTTTTTTTAATTATCTCTGTGGGTGGAGAACAACTTTTAAGTCTTTCCATACATTTTTAAATGGATTAACATCCATCTCTTGATTGGACCATGAATATGCTTTTATCTAACCAAGCATTAGATAAAACCAATTGCTTTTGGTTTTGCAAATGGTATGACAGATATAAGTTTACCATCTGTCATGGATGGGAAACTTTCATGACAGGTGCAACTTTTTAAGAAAAATGTCTTCCTGCATTGCTCTTTATTTGGCTCAATCTTATCAGCTCTGTTCAGCTTCCCCACAGCATGACATTGTGACCACCATGTTTCACTGCAGGGGTTATGTGTTCAGGGTCTTGTGCAGGGTTAGTTTTGCCTGCATATTGCATTTTGCATGGAGATCATCTGACTAAGCCCCCAACATGGTGGTTTGGGTCACTTTAAAAGGAGCTTCTTATGGCTTTTTTTTTTTTCTTTTCCTGATGTGAGTTCTATCCATGTCACCATTATACTATACGTTGCTTTGGTCTATCACATAAAATTGGAAAAAAATACATCCAAGCCCATGTTCATAATGTTTAAATGGTTTTATGTGGCATCATATTGTAGTTTCTTGGCAGTATTGCATGTGTGACGCAAGGTTCAAGACATCAATTTAGACAGCGTTTTATCTAATCTTGTTTTGCCTCCTCAGCTTCCTCCAGCACATGAGTGAAAAATCATAAAACATGTATATCTCCTTTTCCTCCAATTAAATCCAAAACCTTGACTTACACATCCTCTTCACTCTTCTGTCCATTCACCACACTGTCCCTTTCTGCCTCTGTAGGGGGAACGAGATACACAGAAAGCTACTCTGTCAAATGTTGAATTTGATCGAAAAACTAAAGAGGCCAGAGAGCAAGAGTAAATGAAAGATTAGTGAGATGTGAAAGAAATTCAATGGAAAAAAAAACAGAGGGCAAAGGAAGGTGCAGAAGGGAAGAAAAACCTGAAAGACTGAGGAGCAGGACTTGATGGTTTGGCTGATGAACAAATGGAAAGAGACAAGAGGGGAGAGCGAGAAAGAGAGGAAGGACATGAAGCCGGCCAATGAGATAAAAGATATGAGTGCAACTAGGAAGTGACAGTTTTGAGGGATGAATGTGGAGAGAGGTAGAGGCTCAGATGGTGAGTAAAAGGAGAGGAGACAAGACACACAAACAGAAAGAGGAACACGGAGCAATGAGGTGGTGCTGAGCTGACAATTACATCATTGCTCAGAGTAATCTCTTTAGAGTCTTGTGCGGTGGAGATCGGAACACTGCAGAGACAAGAAAGCGAGGAACACTTCCCCATCCGCAGATGAAAAAGATAATCACGGGTACTTGTTTTGTCGCGCCTGTTTTTCCACTTCCGCCCAAAGAAACAGCCCAGCGAATTCAACACCAGCAGGACTCCAAACACCACTGTGAAGGCCACAGTCAAATGAGTTGGCAGGCCACTCGGAGCTGGTTGCAAGCAAAAACAGAAATATCAGATTAGTGCAGAACAGATAAAGCTAAACTGAAGGACATGTAAGGATAAAAAGACCTAACTGGTCTCTCAGCAGCTTTTAAATAATTAAGAACTAGCAGATGACAAAAATAGCTACCGCTGTTACAGCCACAAAAAGGTGCCTGAAATAACATGAGGAGCTAAAGGAAAGCCACTGCTTGTCTCGCCTGGATTTCTTCAAACTCTTAAAAGACTCAAATTTAAGAAGCATAAATCTTATGCTTCTTAAATTTGGTATTGTCATTTTGAATATATAAGACAGGATAAACTTTACTTACAAAAGAAAACAACGGCATTTCTGGGACCAATACAGAAGAAAAATTGTCAATGTCTGAATTGTATAGTTTGGACTGAAGTTAATGCCTTTCATATGAATACATTTGAAAAATAGAGACACAATATTTCTATGGCACAATTTTAAGCAATTGTCAAAGTAATAGAAATGAGAAATACCAAAATGACATTTTGCAAAAAATAAAAATTGATCTCAATTTTTGACAGGAACTCTTAGCCAAATTTCTAATTTCTAAAATAACATTTAAGTAGTCAAAGAACCAGAGAAGTCATGCAAAAAGCATATATAGCATTCAGTGTACTCAGCAAACAGGGAATTATTTTCTTTCTGACACTGAATTATTGGCTTCATATTGTTTAAGTAACAAAAAATGATAACGCAGCCATTAAACTTAAATAATTTGAGTCTTAAAGAGTTTTATTACACTTTCAGTTATATTACTTTTTTCATTAAAATTGAGGGGGGAAAACTCACCCTGTGTTTCATCATCCGATTCATCCTCTTCCATATCTTTTTTCACCATGAAGAAAGAGAAAGGACATAAAAAACACAATCTTCATAAATGTACTGTTGACATCAGTCCTCAGATGATTGATCTGGGGGGTAACTCCAAACTGACCCTCAGTGGTGATGGTCAGTACTGCACCGTCGTCAGCATAGCCACTCTCTCCTATGGAGTTCAGGGCATTAACTGAGAAGTTGTAGGTGGTCTGCGGCTGCAGACCGGTAACGGTGAAGGTTGTTGTATCCGGGGGAACGACATCTACATACATGAAGCTGACAGACTGGTCCCAGATGTATCTGTCAAAGAAAAGAACACTCTATCAAATATGGCTTCCTGTAAGGATACTTGTCCTTTTGGACATTTGTCTTTACCGTATGCGATATCTCTGCTGCAAACCCCCATTAAAGCCAGGGATCCACTCCAGAGTGACGGAGTTATGGGTAACACTGACAAGACTGAATGATGAAGGTGGATCTGGGTGATCTGAGGGTAAAAAGGAAAGTTAGTCTAAAAAGCAAAAGTGTTCTTTGTCCAAAAGCTGAATTCTTCCACACTGCAGTAAAGTCTTTGACTAGAATGTAGTTGCTATGAAATGAGAATGTATGCTATTATGAGGGAACTGATTATTCATACAGACTCTAGAATAGTAAATGCCACTCTGCCACTTACAGGGTTGTGCGCTCCATACTCTTTCCTCCTTTTTTATTATATAGAGTGTCTGTATGTAGACAAATAAGTGATCATTTTAAATATGAGTGTAGCGCTGTTGATGTTCTTAATCAGAGAATATAAGTAAACCATCTATTTTCTCTTTTGTGTGTGACTATGGTCACATTTAAAAACCTACTGCTTTGTAAGGTTAAAGCATTGAAATTTATAATAATAATTTATACAAAGAGAGAAAGGTTGGATGATTTTGGCTGATAACCACAATATTAGGTGTCTTTCCATCCATATTTTCATAAATGTCACTGGGTTTTGAGGAGCGAGTCGCTACTCTTACCAGGACAGAACTCTTAAAATGTTCAAAATACATAAATATTTTATTGCATGAGCATTAACTTAAACTGGTGTGTTTTTCACATTTCTGGTAGTGGTCTTTGGAGTTTATTTTAACTCTGTTAACACTTTTTATACAGCTTGATGGCAAGAAAAAACTTGATTCCACCAGACATATTTGTCACAGTTCCAGTTGTTTTAAAGTTATTAAATTATTACTCTGGTTGTAGCAAGTTTAGGTGAGTAGCGATTTTCTTTGTGTCTTTCCAAAATAATAAAGATTAATAAACACATCCTGCCTAAAAGGCTTTTTTTATGTACTGCCCAAATGCTCAAAGGAAACAGATAAATGTGGATTAGTGAGTAAATGTTTCTACATTGCTCAGTCAAAAAACTACAGCTAGAACAAATGATTAAAAAAGTGGTGAGAATTCTTTGTTATTGTCCCTATCTGGTATCTTTACAGACACAAGCTTCAAGGTATTTATTGGTATATGATATGATTGTACGACAAAATAAATCAGTTTTAATTAAAACAAAAAAGTCCAAATTGTGCCTTTATATTTAGTTCTGCTAACAACCCTTACAAACTTATTGTGCAAATAATTTCTTCAAAAGTCACTTAAAATTAATGTGTTTGGAGGAATTAAAAAGTCTTTACCCTGTGGTGACCCCAGGCTAAAGAACAACCCATGTTGTTCGAGGCCTTCTCGAGGACAGAAGCCTCGACAAGACCGTCAAAGGTACAATTCCCGGCCAGATGACTATGGCTGCATGTTTTTACTCTGTCTCATTACCTGTCTGAAACTTTCAAATAAAGGTCACTGGAGATAGTAAGACCTTTTCTTTTCTTTTTTTTTTTTTTTGAAGAATTCTAAAGCAAGGGTAAAAAATTTTAACGTTTTCAACACCTTATTCAGTACTGTTTAATCCATCTCCTGAAAATGATGAAAATATGGCACAACTACAAACCTGCTAAGCCATGGTGTTTCACCAAAACTCACAAGTCAGGGAAAGAGACCATTAGGAGAAGAAGTAAAAAAAAAAACCTATGTATTAGTCATGCACTACAGTCTGGTGTTTATGGAAGAGCAGCTGCATTTTTGGATTGTTGAAAGAAAACCCATAACGTGTCCCTGTGCAGTTTTTCATAAGCTACGTTGAGGACGCATCAAACATGTGGACAAACATTAGTTCTAGGTCAAAGTTCAGACATAGAACTAATCTCTGGCAAGACTTGGCAAACATTTTTTAGATTCAATCTGAAGAAGCTTGATGGTCATGAATAGTTCTCTTTCCACTTTCAATTATGCACAATTTTATATTTTGTCCCTTCAAATACATATAAATTAGATTGCGATGATTCAACATGTGGAAAAGTGGGGTACTTTTGCAAGTGTCAGTGTGTGGCACTGTTTTTTTTAAAGAGAAAAATCACAATGTGGGTTTTCTTCATAGATGCTCATTGAAAAGGTGAGCTCGAAAAAACAATCTTAATTTTTATAAATTTTTGACTTAAAAAGCTAATTATTTTACCTTATGATTAGCAACAAAAGACAAAGCATTTGGCTGACTCCTTTAATAACCCAAGAACTGATTTTTATAATTTATATCACCAAACTTAAGCAATAAGACATTGCCTTATTGCTTATGTTTGTATCAATATTGAAAGAGCTCATCAAAGGAAGCTACTCAGACCTTTGGTCTTTTACAAAGGACTGCTTCAGCTAGGCTTCTGAAAGCAAAGTGGAGTGTTTCACATTTGGAGCATCAGAAGCAATAATTTTGGAGAGGAGCAGTAGTCAAGGTGAAATGAAAGAGAGGTAGTTAAACAGAAGCATAGGAAGAAAGCACTGCTTGAGCAGTGATTCATTCTGCACACCAGTTTACAAAACTAAATAATTCCTACATTCAACTCAACTCAAAGAAGGCAAAGAGTTCTCTTAAATAAACTAACAAAAAAATGTCTTTCTTTCAGCCCAGATGTGATAAGGAAGTATTTAAAATTTATTATCACTGTGTCAAATTAATTATGATAATTCCCACATGGCCATAAAAAAGGAAGAAAAATATATGGGCAAAAACAGGGCCAGTATTGGATTGTGTTTTAAAGTTTTTATAGTAAACATTAAATGTGTCCATCGATAGCTGCCGGCATTTGCTGAGAGCTGGACTTGGTTGATTAGACTGGTAGTGTGCAGATACATTCGGTAGCTTGAGGGTGGAAAAGTCTAAGTATGCCAGGAGAGTAAAGCTTATCACTGCAACTCTTATCTGTGGAGGAAGCAAAGTAGTGCTGTGGGCTAGATGATAAGGTAGAGAGATAGAGGAATAAAATAAGGTCTGGCTCTTGTGAACAACAACTCTCTCTGCAGTTTACAGAATCATCGTGGGATTGTGAGGATTCTCCCAAACTACTCTGCAGTTGCAGAGAAGGCCGGATAGAATTTGGACCACACGGCATGGATTCAGTTTTATTTAACTGTATCCAAATAAGAACAGAAGGAAACATTCATGCTTTCCTGCCAAGTGTGTGATATGAATAATCCCTACCCGGTGTGTGCCATAAAAAAAAAGAAAAAAAAAACTCACTTTGATCAGTTGCCATTCATTTAAAAACATTCATGTGGGATATTTTTGATTTTTTTTTGTCCACTAGAGGAGCAAATTTATAACAATGCGAAAGGCAGAGTGGGAGAAAATGGATGCCAAGGACGGTCAAGAACCAATAGACACTTTCTTGCAGTGTGTTGTGACTTGGTATTTATCCTACCAATCTCTTAACAGTATGATATTGTGTGTTTACAAGAACAGTGAGGCTCAGACATATGGCTTGTGTTGGCCCGATAATTAAACTGAAGGGAGTGTTATGATTATTTTTAAATTGGTTCGCATTTAAAAATAAATAGGTCAAACAAGGTTGTTTTATATAATTTCAAAACACTGCTATTGATCTAATAACCTTTTTCTCTTTCGACATGCCCAAAATTTGGCACAGCTTGCTTTTTCCTTTTTTTTTTTTTCTCTCCCTTTTGCAAGGCACCAAGTAAGAATACTGCTGAAACCACAGTCACCCAGAGACTCACGCCCAATTGCACTTAAAATGGAAATGTATGCAGATGCAATACTTGTGCTGACGAGCTGGATGTCTAGCTTGTCTTCCCCAAGTGAGTTGCGAGCAGTGCAGCTGAAGACGGCGTAGTCCAGAGTGGCGCTCACATTCACCACTCGCAGAGTACTGGTGTGGAAAGAGCCATCTCTCGCTGTCCTCTCCTCATACCTGCAATATGAAGATTTATGGCACTGAGGTAGGAAAAGGGATAAACACTCTGCGGTCACTAAAGCTGGCTGAAATAACAATAAATAGTAAAATAATGGAGCAAATTTGAGGATTAATGTAAACCACAGGACAAGCTAATAGAGCATGAATGTGAACCACGCCTCTCAAAATTATTCATACTCCCTAACTTATTCATATTTTGTCACATTAATAGTTAGTCAGATGGGAAGAAGAGAACCAGTGAACATCAATTTTCAACTTTTGCCACAAATTCTCTGTTGGATTTAGGTCTGGACTTTTACGGGGCCATTCTAACTCATAATTATGCTTTGACTTAAACCATTCAATGTTTAGAGTCATTGTTCTACTTAATAGGAATTCAGTATTGTCTTTTGAAGCCTGCGAAGAACAGCACTCCACAGCATGATACAACTGCTACCCTGTTTAACCAGTGTGATAGTCCATTCAGGATGATGCACGGTACTAATTTTCTGCAGCACATATTGTTCCAGAGGTTGGTCAAGCCATTCAGCCGGAGCTTTTTTAGCATGTCTGCTATGTAGACTACATGGCTTGTGGTAATCTGTTAACGGGACATGTCATGATTTTGATTTGAGAATGGCTTTCTCTTTTTCACTCTTCCATAAAGTCAAATTTGTGGAGAGGATAAGTGAAGGTTGTCAACACATCCTCACTCCTCACGCTAGTATTTCCCAGCCTTTTTCCTGTATCACTGATTATTCTTGTCCTTTCGTTTCTGTTGTGCCACACTACTACTATTTCTGGATGATGAAATGAACACCTTTCCACTATTCGTCCGAAACTTGTGTTTATAATTGAATTCTACTTTTACCTTTTCCACAACTTCCATATCTGCTGGCGGTGTTCTTTTGGCTTCATAAGTTCTGATTGTTCATTATTTCCCATGACAAACATTATGAGTTTCACAGAACTATTCTAAGTAAGATTCATTTTCTTCCCAAGAAATCTGGGAAGATTCATTTTGTTGATCTGTGACAAAACTACAACACAATATATTGAACGATGTATAAGAAAGGGTGTGTTTGCTAGTAATATTTTTCAAAGATCTCTAAATATAACTTTGTGATTAAACTATGACTAGAAATCAAAATCACCTCCTGACCTGGGATTTGCCAAATCTATGAGCATCCCTTTCTTTTCCCAAGTAAACTCTACAGGAGGAATGCCCTCTGCCTGACACACCAACTCAGCAGTGGCAGTGCCATCCCCTCGACTGGCAACCTTCCTCCACTGGGGTCCTTTCCGAAGTTCAGGAATGACTTCAAAAGGAAAGACAGATGAGGAAAAGTATTCAGAAACCTCAAATACTGCATTTTCATAAGTCAACTGAAAGTTTGCTTTACTTCTTAAACTGAAAAATAACAACAATGAACCTACATTGCACCACCAGCTTCATTTCCACACTGCCAGGGAGTGCTATGCCATTGCTGGCTGTACACTGGTAAAAACCAGCATGAGCCCGAGTCACATTATGAATGGTCAGCAAGCTTGATTTGTTTTCGTTGGTCCCCTCTCCCATCTCCACCTCTTCCTCTCCCTGTGGAAGACAGAGTGAGGAGAAATAAGCAAAAGACAGCTGCTATCCCTCAGTACCTGCACTCCCTCTAAGGGATGGTGCACTACCTGTCTTGCTGTGCAAAGCAAGACAGGTAGCCAGACATTATGGCTTGATGTCTGCATGAGAAGGACGTTCAATACAACAAGCTGAGAGGACAAAAGAAGAATAACACCAAAGGCTGTTGAGCCCCAAGACACAAGAAAAAGGAAGGCTAATAAAAGCCGAGAAAAAGAACACGAACCCGACTGTCAGGGGGTGGGTTGGACCACGGAGAGCATCAGCAGATAGAGACCACGCCACATTGACAAATGTGCCCTTTAGTCACGCAGCGGTAATGAAAGCTATTTTTCTGTATTTGGGCTGAGTGTGAAACAAGGAGACATGGGGTGGAGGGATAGTTAAAGCCAGTGAATTATAGTGCATCTGTGCATTTAGAGAGCCCAGTGATAAACGGTAAGAACAGAGAAAATAACACAGAGGAAGCCAGATAGGGGAAATAGATTCTAGACTGTTGCTGCACAGACTGTGTGTCCGTGCGCGTGTGTGTGACTGAGTGAGTGTGTTTGTGGCCTTGTTTTTGATACGACGTAAAGACCATTTTCCCAAAAAATACTACGCTATGGTTGTGAGCTAGTCATTGGAGCAGTTGGTCCCAGAAGGAAACCCATAAGAAGGAGTCCTTTAGGATCTTTATGACCTTTGTGTTAATTGAGTTCAGGTTAGGTTGAGGTTGTACTGCTAACCGATAACAGTTAGGTTTAGCGTAAGGGTCGAGGTTAGGCTAGATAACGAATCAAAAATGAATGGAAGTCAATGCAAAATCCTGTGAAGATATAAAGATGTGCATGCATGTGTTTGCTGTAGCACTCACCAGCCATTTCCAAGAGAACATCTCTGGTATAATGGGGTTGGCATCTGCCACACATATCAGGTCTGCTGTTCCTCCCTGGTTCACATACACAGGGTCTTTCTCTGCCTTGACACTCGGAGCATCTGAGTGTGAGGAAAGAGGAAAAGGCTGAAGCAGAGGTGAAGTCAGTCTGAGACAAATCATCCATTAAAAAAGCCATGTTGATTTGCGATAATTACTCTTGCACTTGTTTGGCTTTGACAGTGTTCATAACCCCTGGGATACAATACTATTAACTTCTTTCTATGCTTGAGCAAAGATGGAAAATTAATGTGACCCACGAAACCCTCTAATGAGAGCACATCCCTATTCAGATTATGGCAGTGACCAGTTTGCCCTCGTTTTGTTTCCCGTCTCTATCCATCTACACAACAGTGAATCTCTCCTTCCATTCAGAGTCCTCACTTCTTTTCTTTGTTAGCTTCATAAGCTTTTTACACTTCCCATGGGTCCCATGTACATGCAACAGTAAGGCCATTAGTGCCAACTTGTCTGAACCTATGTTCCCTCCTGAAGAACAGTGGCAAAAAACACTAGCAAGAGACAGACCTCTGGGTTGGTGGTACCCACTCGTGTTGGTCTCCTAACAAAGACCGACATTGTTAAGTGGGATACACTTCCACACTTAAAAGCTACTACAATCTTCCATACATAATGAATATCTACAACTGTCATGCCCAGTCAGTGCAGGATGGCAGAATCCATTAGTCGTGTACCATGGGCTTTGGTGAATCAGACAGACCTACATTTTCAGCGCTAGCATTATTAAATCATTACTATCGAGGCAGAGGGCCTAGAGCTTGAGGCTGGGCCTGAGGCAGAGGAGGAAATGGATAGTCTTGTATGGAGGCCTAATGAAGGTTTTTTGAGGATGAATCGAAAGCAAGTTTTGGTTGCCTGATACTCTGCAGCTTTAGACAAGTTAAAATTGTGCTATTAGCAATCGATGAATTCACTGTACTGCATAAGCAATTATTCAAAAACCACATTTGAAAGACAATTGAGGAAAGTCAGATGTAATATTGTGTCCAGGAAGGTCAAAGTAACAAGGTAAGTTGAAGAACCTTATATGTGACAACTGCTTTTGAATCATTTTAGAGTTTATGTTGAAATGGTACTTATTCGGCTACAGAAGAAATCTGATTTTTCAACATGCCAGCACACATGGCAAAATAGAAAAGGAGTGTAGCAACAGCTTGAGATCAGATATAGAAGTACAAAAATAGAGAAAGTTGAACCAAGTGGTCAAATGCATTCCTAGCAAGAAGGTTTTTAATGTATGAAACCTGAAATAGTACAGCTTGCCAAATATTGCATCCAAACTGTCCTTTGTGACTGCAGGACAGTGCACATTGATTCTATGACATTGATTTAATATACTACATATTTTACTCTGATATGTCTATGCATCCTCTACTTGCAGTTTCTTACAGTAAACATCCAGTTTAACACTGGTTTCGTTGACACCGTCACCATTTTCACATTTGATAGTGTAAAGTCCGCCATCTCTTCTTGTCACATTCCTAATCTCCAAAGAGTGGTCATCCAACCAGTGGTGGCGTATGTCTTCCCCTTAAGAAAAAGCACACACAGACACACATGCACACACACGCACGCATGAAAACCAATAGTAAATTGAGTATTCATTACATGCTCATCAACAGCATGTCCTCTGGCCACTGGTCTCTAAGTGACATCTAATCCTGCATTATTGATTTGTCCTGGCAAGATTCCCACTACAATCTGACAATAGGTGTGTGAGGGAGACCTTCTGTACCACAATACCCAAAAAAAGTAATAGATGTTTTTTCTCATTTGAAAAATACTGTAATTTCATGGGGTTGACTGCATATAATGGAAGTAGCAGAGCTAACAGAAAGGGTGTGGGTGCAGCTGCGCTCTGATGACATCGACCTGGAGAGGAAGACGGGTTTAAAGCCCTTGTGTTGTATTCAGGGAGACAGCAATCCTCATTTAGACTGAATATATTAGAGCTGTAATGAGAATCACATTTGGCAGGGTCCCATGCTGGCTAACCTGCTATGTTTTATTCAGACCCTGAATGGCAGAGCTGAGTGCTTACTTGCTGGCTCAGCTCAACTAGGACCTGGTTTATAGAGCCATCACACAGCCCGGGATCACCTTTGACCAGCATCTGCTTGCGGCGCAGCCAAATGCAGGAGACCACCTCGGGGTTTGCTGAGACCATCAGGGGGATGGTTGCCACATCATCCTCCACCACCTGGACTTCTGTTGCTTGCTCAGAACTGAATTCAGGAGGATCTGACGTAAAAGCAGTACAGAAATACAAATCCAGCTGAATTCATACAAATGTTACATGCACAGAGGAATAAAAACAGGCTCCTGCTCACAGGAGTGATAAAATCCAACAAGAGCGAGCACAAAAACCCACAACACATGCTGAGCACAAAAGCCCGAAGAGACACTAATGAGAGTCAAACCAGTAGAAAGTCAACACCCCACCAATAATTCCAGATCTAACCAGCTTCAAGCATTTCTACAACAGGGGAGTGAGGCAGCACAGGAGGGAGAGGGAAAGGCATTAAAATGACGTCTGACAGTACTTTTGTCCAAATGCAGATCTGCACAAACACACAGTGACATTCCTTCATGCTCATACACAGCACCGAGCTTTGAAGCAGAGGCTGGCTGCTGCCTGTGAAATGGCATCAAAGGCAAACATGGCTATGCAGCAAAGCAAATGCACAATTAGGACACACTGCCGCAGAGCTCAACAGACATACAAATCACAACAAAGGTTTCCTGTAAACAAAAAATATATTGCAAAAATATCCCAACGATGTAGATTTCATCTGCATTGTTAGTGAATTGTCATTCAAAAATCAAGCAGACATTGCTTGGTTACACGTGTGCGACAAATAACTGAAAAAACATGTTTTTTATTCCTATCCTACTTACATATCACATTCAGTTGGTAAAACGTGTTAGTTCCCTCTTCCAACACAGGATTGTAGGCCTGACAGATTGCCTTCTGGTTGTGCTGTTGTGAAGTCAAATTCAGGTGAAGCCTACTGAGCACAGAAACGCCCCCAAACTCAGCTTTCTTGGGTGCCTCCTCAACTCCCTGGAATCTAGGAATAAGTGCCAAGTTACAATTGCTAAACAATTTTAAGTTCACAAAAATATAACTGGACACATCTCAGAAGACGAGTCTCTGTCGTCCTACATCATTTGCGTTACTTAAAGCTGATTATATCCTTACAAAGAAAGTAGTGGCGAAATGCTGATATATTATTTGGTGTTTCTCACACTACAGGTCTAATTTTTAAAGCAAACCTCAATGGGCCCACTTTCCAGGAAATGTCAGACTTTGGGTTGCTGCTCCCAGAAAGACACACCAGTTCCATCTGCTGACCTCGGTAAAACACTTCTTCGCCTGTAATCTTCATGCTCACGGCTGTAACTGGAGAAGCATAATTCAAACAAGAACAACCAACCATTTAAAGAACTTTCCTTTTTGATTGAAACAGAACTAACATACTTGGATAAGCTTATTGGAAATCTCTGAAGTAAGACTAAGAGCTACATTCTTTTGGCAAAACACAGATCGTCGCTAATAAATCACTAATCACAAATATAAGAGGACATTTTACAATGTGAACTCCAAATTATTTTGACTGTTAATTGTATTATCTTATTTCATTGGATCTCTTCTGTCACACATATGACTCCACACCTAATACACATAAGTAATGGCCACTCACATCAGGAAGTTAAAATCAGAATTGGCTGAAATATATGCAGCAAATAGGTGGATTAGAATGCCCCTTGTTTAGATTGAGATAGTTCTCTTTAAGGATTGGTGCTTTTAAATAACATGAGGTAAACTAATGACTGAAACACATGAAGGTGAATGCTATAAAAATTTCAGTTGAATATATAAGTTATATTCCAGTGTGTATCACCTTTATTTAGCCAATATTGATATTATACATCTTTCAGTTGACAAGAACAAAGCTCAGATGGTGTGCGTGCATCAGGACAGTAGACATACTCACACTGGACCAGTAGCTTAGCATGTGCTGATATTGTTCTCTTTGCCTCATTTGTGGCATCACAGCGGTAATCAGCCTGGTTGTCGCTCGCCGTCAGGAGCAGGTTGAGCACCCGAGTTACAACCATATTAGAGGACGTCTGTGCCTGTGCATCCGAAACCTTTTTTCCATTCTAAAGCATCAATGAAGAAATTAAAATATGGATTGACGTGCAATTGTTCTTGGCATACATAAATGTTATAAGGTAAGATTGCACCTTAAACCAGGTAAGCTTTGCAAGAGGATTCCCTCCAGCCGAGTGGCAAACAAGCAGGGCTCTGGTGCCCGAGCGAAGAGGGATGTCCTCAGGCGGTGAATCAATAAAAACTTTTTGTGGAGGATCTGTTCTCAAAGGGTAAAGATTTTGACATTTACTGTCTCAAGATTTTGCAAATTTAAATGTATGTCGTTTTCTGTGTCTGCTCAGCTCCTGAAGAACTCTATTTTTAAAAAAAGGTCTTTGTTAAGTATCAAATTGTCCAGAATGCTTGTTATATCGGAGTTTGGAATAAGAAGTGGTAAAATCTGCAGGGGCCTAATGAACGACAAAAGCGCTTTCTGTTCTTACCACTGTTTTGTATCTTATTTCTCCAGGGCTAAGTTACAGGGGTTGGATGTAAACCTCCTGTTCTTATATTTTCACGGAGAAGCAGGTGTTGCTTGCCTTTCGTCTTCTCCAAAATAGCTGCGATCTCACCTTCTAAATGAATTTAAAGTGATTATTTTTCTTTGCCGTTTGGTCCAATCTAAGCCCATGGGATGTGTGACAGCTGTGTATAAGTCTCAAATTAAATTGTAAGAGCGTTGAAAAGAAAAAAAAAAAAACTTTTTTATGCTCTGCTTCTAAGGCAGTCTGTTGCAAATGATCAAGAGTTAGTCAACGTTCAAATAAGACCTAGGAGCATTTTGAAATGAGCTGAGATTTCAAAATCTGCAACATATTCAAAAAGATACGTTGCAGATGTCTGTAGTTCCTTCAGAGTTACCTTGACCAGGGTTTCCCTGGAGATATGTCAATTTAGGTATATGGCACTTTGTTTTTTTGAGCTTATCAGACAAAACAGCATTTTGTGTGATGACACTGAGATTGGCTGACTTCTGAAGGCACATATTTTATTTAGCAATATTAGAGTACAGAGAGTTTCTAAGGAGATGGTCAGACAACACCTCAAGTTCTTCTATATTTTGTTTTGGTCAGTGATAAAAAACCCACTTGTGATTAATTCAAACCATGGCAGTAAATTAGAAGTGGAAAAAGAAAAAAAGTACATGGGAAATGGATATTTTCCAAGAAGCAGCATGTTGCTTCTGAGATGCCATTTTGTCCCATAGTACTTTCAACAAAGCAACGCAAAAAAAAAGAGATCTTAACAAATTAATGTAGGATAAATTTGGACTGAATTTTGGAATTTTTTTTGCTTAATCCCTGTGCAAATATAATAAGTTATATTCCAAGGTTTTCTTAGTGACTTTCAGTGATTAATTTCTCACTGTAAAAAATGTTTGCAGCTGTTAAAAAATAAATGTGGTAAAAGTCTTACATTTTTAAATGAAGTGAAAAATGTGTTTTTTTTCCTTAGGAAACAAAAAAAACAAACAAAAAAACAACAATTACACAAATTCAAAATGTTTTAATATTGTAGTTGATTATATGAAATCCAACTGCACTGTTTTGTTTTTTCAAATAATTTGTTAAATGTGATTATGATTACTTACAGTATACAGTGAGCTTAGCAGCCTGGATTTTGGAAAGATGAGTGCCATTATTAAAAGCCTCACAGGTAAGCTCCAGTCCATTTTCCTCCCGAGAGACCTGGTGGGTCACATTGGAGGTGGTTGTCATCCCTCCGTTCTCTCCCTGCAGACACAAGGAGCACGCAACAATTAAGATGAAGAAAACAGGCAGGCTGGGTCCTCCGTCCTCAGCTGTGAAAAAGCGAGACAAAAAGCAGAAAAAAAGCCACCAACCTCCCTGGTTTGTCTTGTGAATACAGATGGCAAATTAGCTGCTGTAATGACTGATGTTGTGCATGGTCTGTGATAAATAAGCATATTCATCTGATTCCCCCCGCTTTGCACCCCATTATAAATGGAGCACAGTGTCATTTTGCACCTGCCTGATAGTGGTCATGCCTATGCAGCACATCTGGTTATTAAAGCCATTATTGTGGTGATTACGGTAAAAGCCACAGTCAGAAAGACTAACAAAGACAGTGAACAGGCGCGTCAGTCTTCATTAACTTCCCACTGTTTCACATGCATTAAAGCTCACATGCAGCCCACGGAGTGCCTCGCGCAAGATCAAATGGAAATGCTGCTGCCAGATGAATAAAGAGCTTGTTTAATAATACTCATCTTCTGTGTCAGCTTTTATTCACTTTGATCTTATTAACGTACACAAAAGAGGAGCGGAGCAACGAAATACTCTTTTTCGAATTGCCTGACTCATTTGCAAAAGCTGCAGTGGGCTTATTCAGGGACTGCTCATGGTTGTACTGTTTGCTTTCATCTACCGGGGTTCACATGAGGTCAAATTTCATATTGGGGATTCGTTTTCATTCAGTCGAGGGTCTTTTGCTACCCTAATAAGAAGCTTGATTAAGCAGGAAGTGCTTGCTTGTCTATTAATATGCATGCCTTCTAGGCCATTTTAGGCAAAAGAGGAACATAAACACAGCCTTTTTCTGTTTTCTGGTTGCATAAAAACATTTTAATCTGCAGGTCTGATCAGAGATTTTTTTGTCATATTCGTCCATCCATTATCTTACACGCTTATCCTTAGGGGTGCTAAGCAGTCAACCAGTGAGAGGCGGTGTACCCTGGACAGGTCACCTATCCATCCCAAGGCAAAAAAGAGCATAGCTTCATAGAGCTTTAAGAACAAAACAAAATAAAATGGCAAAAAAAAATTGATTTACTGTGGATTTGCACAAAAACAAATTATTCAGTAAGATTTGACATCTATATACATTAGCCAGGTTAATTCCACCAAAATTGAAGAACTGATCAATATAAATAAATAATATAACATTCATGCCCACGACAAGTCCGTCAGATTCTGACCAGAACTATAAAACCTACCACTTTTTTATTACATTACTCTTCCTGACTACCAGCTCTGTTAGAAACATAGACTCTTTACGTATTTGTATGCCATCCAGTCCCACCTCTTCCATTGTGACAGAGGTGTTGCTGAGCTCCTTGTGCCCCAGCCACCAGCGAATGTGGACTGGGGGATTACTCGAGGACGCATGGCAGCTCAGAGTCAACTCCTGCCCTTCGATGGCCTCCAGCGAACCCGACAGCGTCAGCTTCGCAGGACCGACTGATGAGAAAGCACACACATCCACAAGCAAGCACGCAAAGATAAGTTAGTAAAAAAAAACATCACCCCACGAACAGCACATTCAACAGCTCCCTATTCTGATCACAGCGGCAGCGCAACTATTTTAGGATGTGAGACACAGAGCTCGTATCAAGGGTGAGAGTGAAAATCACTTTGAGTGGCAACTTGTTTTCTCTGGGGGTTTTTTCATTGTGGTTTCTAAAGTCTGCTTCGTTTTAACCAGAAGGGGAGACAGGGTACAAGCGCTGCAGGCGATACGATGCAGTTGTATAAATCCTTCAGGGCAATACAAAGGCTGGGGAGGGGGGTCTGAGCTGACAGGTTCAGAGAAGAAGGTGGGTCATGTGTGTCAGTTTGTTGTCACATCTGTGCACATCCCATATTCCACATTACTGTGCTTCCTCTCTTTCGCTCTTTCTCTCTTTTCTCTCTCTCTCTCTCTCTCTCTCTCTCTCTCTCTCTCTCTCTTTATATATATATATATATATATATATATATATATATATATATATATATATATATATATATATATATATATAAACATAAATTAAGAAATATAAATATTAAGAAATATAAACACAAAATCACATACACACGCATATATAAATATAAATATATATTTAACTAGCAGGGAATCTTACTCTGTGCCCTACAGCTTCTGTCGCAGCCTTGAGCACACCCAAACAGTCTGCAGTTCATTTTCAGCATCCCTGAATGCATGTCTTGAAGGAATGTTGACTTCAGAGCATGTTGGGGGGGCAAAGGCAGGCTCACTGATACAACTCTTCACCCGCACTGACACGGCATACACAACATATTTTTTAAATAAAGTTTTACATAAGATATCGCATCATTTAGAAAGAACTTAAGATTAAAATCAGGTGAAATGCAGCAAGACGTATGGATAATAACTCCATATTTGTTTAATAGTTGCTGAAGTAAACATTTTATATTCCAATAAAAGTGTAATCTATTAACTATGGTTGTTACAATTGCTCCTAGTATAATCTGTAGAGCCTCAGGAATGTGCAGTTAAGCAGATGAACTGAATTAATGCAACAGCTCCAAAAGAACCATGAAGTAACGCTAGTCTGGAGGCAGTAAGAAATATTGGCTTCAGCTACCATAGCCATTAGTTTCATTAACGATATTAACATTAGACTTCTCTTTTCATCTCTTTTCTTTATAGCCGGAACTTCCAGATTTTTGTTACTTTTTTCTTTAATCTTTAATAAACCATTAGAAGTAAGACCTGAAAAGGGTATTGTGTGCCTTCTGCTTTCACTCACAGAACACTGTTATTTTGCGGGTGATGGACAGAGGAGACAGGGAGACAATATTGGCACTTTCACAGCTCAGCTCTGCCTGGTTGTCAGCAGGGGTGATCTTTAGTCTGAGGATATTTCTGGACGTCTGGCCCACGACTTCCTCTCCCCAGGTTGTCGAGAGAACTTCACCTTCCTGTAAGATGGATGAACATGAGGGGAAAAAGAGGTGGCAGCGTGTCTGATTATGGAGACTAGCAAAAGCTTTCAGATCACTTAAACTGTTTATTCTCTTTTTATGTTATCTCCTCAAACACCAACGAGCTTTTATGTGAAAAATCTGTAAAATTCAACACGTTTTGTGAACAGTGTGAAAAAACAACATGTGGTATTCAAATTTCTTTTAATGTCTGAAAAGTGTGGCTTAAAGTCATACTCAGAGCCTTTAATCTAATGCTCCTTAATCAAATTAATCACAGCAAACTCCAGTCCTTTCATAAGTTACCTAAATAGTAAACATAGTCTGTCTGTAATGGTGCTTTTCCAGTAGAGCGTCTCAAAAAGTTTTGGTCCCGTCTGCCCCAGTCAGACTCATTTTTCTTAGTGGATCCGGTGCCGCTCTGCATGGCTGTTCTCAGATTTTCCTACCTACGTCAGTGGTAGCACTAGCCACACCGAACAGAGAACAAAGTAATTTGACTGACAGCTGACCATATTTGTTGATTAAGTTGAGATGTACCTCTGCAAACTCCAAACAACTTTATATCTTTGCTGTGGACTGCGGACATGCCATCTGCTCTCAGAGAGCTGCTCGGTACAGAGAAGTGGAATTATGAGTTTAATCACAAGCAACGGCAGGAACATGTGTTTAATTTTGGGGCAGAATGACGATGACTTAGCACGTCTGTAAGCAGCTTCTCTGTCTGAAGCTGCCGATTTTTGTCGGTGCTGCAGAAATCAGCAGTGTTTACATAATATCAGCTTTTGATATGAATTTAACTTTTTGTTTGGATTAAAAATAAATAACGTTCTTGTGTGGCCATTGGTTTACACCTTTTGAGTGCATTATTTAAACCCTAAAGGTTGCACATCAAAAAAAATAATAATAATAATAAAGAGCTAGAATATAATTATTTTTATGTGCACAGCTTAACAATCAGCTGATCTGGGTCTTTATCGATGTGATTGGGCCAGTAATTCATTTATGTAAGACAAAATGATAATATCTGAAAAGTGTGGCCTCAAATAACATGAACAACCATGCCACTGCGAGCAGAGTTAAGTCATAAATTGTGTGTCCGGCACTTTCAACATCTCATAGACACTCTATATGAAATGATAGGCTAGATGAGGAGAACTTTAATCAGAAGTAAAGTCAAAAGGTTACAGAAACTCACAGCTTAGGTGGGAAAATAAGGTACTCTAGAGCTGGAAGGGTTTGTGAAATAAAATGACTCATTTAGCCAGAGTGATTTTTTTAAAGCTTCATTTCGCAGATGGCTAAGAGGATTTACCTTAGTCCATTGGAGAGTGCCCAGGGGGTTTCCACCATGGGATACACACTCCAACACGAGCAAACTCCCTGCTTTAACCACGTCTCCGTCCAAACCAATAATATATGGAGGCTCAGGAGGATCTGTCAGAAGAGGGAGAGACAAAAATAGCAATAGCTCAGAGAAATTTGAATCTGAAGCAAAGCATCAAAATATACTGAATACATTTAGTATTTGCTGTCACTCAATACAAATAATAAGTGGCATTTGAGGCCCCAACAGTTTCAGTTCTAGGATCTTAGCTTTTTCATACTTTACTCTTCTCTGAATTTACATTAAAGAGAGAAAAAAATCTATCTAAACATCTTTATGTTGCTGTTATACAAAGGTAAATAGTAACTAGATATATTTACTCAGTTACTTTTATTTAAGTAAGTTTTAGGGGGGAAAAATTGCATCTAGAAGTTTTACAATACTGTATACTTATTACATTTACTGAAGTATTGCAAAGTATCGCTGTCCTTACTGTAGTAAAATTATTCAATACTCAAAAATTATTCATTATACAATAGTGACTGTGACTAACTTCACTGAATGAAGACCAATTTGATTCCTATTTTAATTATATGAAAGTTTTATATTTAGTCATATTTTATGACTATTTTATGAAAATGTTATATTTATATAAAGTTTTATATATAAATATACTTGGCTATGCTATGGTAGCGTAGCCAAATAAAAATAACTTAAAAGAAAAAAATGCTTCTGTCTCATTAAGAAGCTCCAACATTTCTGCTTCAGTGCCTCAACACAACAATGCTCCTCCATTACCACTGTTCTTAGGGCCAATGAATGGAAGTAGACTATATGATGAACTCAGCAGAAACACAATTCCACCAGGTGTCACTTTGTGTTTTACTTTAAGTTGCATGCTTTTGCATGCAATTGGGTCACCACATCTACACATCTCAAAACCTTGTTGTACTTTTTTTCTAAGTTTCTGTTCAGCACTTTTTCCAGGGAGATGTGTCATATAAATAAACATTTAATTACTATATGCCATGAAATAATGAACAGAGTATCCCTGTGTGTTGAGACAAAGTTAATAAATCGGTCCCATTCAACATGGATATGTGTAAGAGAAATCCAGATCTGATAAAAGCATTAAGAATTAAGGGGAACAGTGAGACCATAAAGAAAAATAACAGATGTTCAAACAGTAATAAGACAACGTGAAATATGAATAAATTATAGCTGAGCTTGAATAAAATATTTGCAGTAAAATAAATTAAAAGAGGATGGGCTTTTGTTATTGCTGCAATCAGTTTCAGGGAGCAGCCTGTGGACTCTGGGCCAGCATGAAAAATTGCCACCTTGCTGACAATCTGGCTGGCAGAAAATGGCCACTGCGCTGGCATTGATGGGCTGGCACACTGAGTAATATCGCAGCAGAGGTCCCAAGTTCTGCAATATTAGCACTTTACCGCAGAACGAGCATATTATTTATGGAAAGGAAGGGAGAGTAGGTTTGTAGTAGCACAGATTTTGTCTACAAAGGGGTTGAGATTGGACTGAAGTTAATCAGGGTGTTCAGTCAGCTTTGAAGATGTTGGACTGGAGGGTGTGTCTGACTTGAAGACAGAGGAAAAACATCTTAACTTTAACTGATCAGCAGTATAAAATATAAACTCCACTGTGGTAAACAATAGCTGCCATGTCACGCAGGTTCATGCATTAAGAAACAAAGGCTCCCACAGTTGCAATGCCAAACAAAAGCAAAAAGGAAATTAAACAACAATACGGGAAAATGACAGCATTTGTCCCAGCTAACCTTTGTGCGGTTCAGCAGTTCTATTTCCATGCTGTCAAATGGTTTGTGAAATCAGTACAAGGAAAAAGGCACTTTCTGCCTCTGTGCATTCTAAATTTAATTTGAGCTGATGAACACAAACGTTGCCGGGCTAGTTAAGGCTGGATTTCTTATTATATGTGAGGTAGCCCTGGCTTCCATTAGCCTATTAGTTATTATAATGCTATTAAAAAAATCACTAGAAGCCTTGCTTGTACAATCCATCTGGGCTGGTCTAATAATCGTTTGGTGTATTTTGGGTTAACAATGGGCCAAAAGCTGTGTCAAACATGATACATCAGACTTAATGAAAATGTAATTGCACACTGCTCTGTTTTCCTCTGTACTAGTGAAAGAAAAAAACTGATTTTACTGTGACCCTACCGATCATTAATTGGGTCCACAGGGGGGATTTATTTATTTATTTTTTTTTCCGTTTTCGTCTTTTTTAAAACAGGTGTTGACTTTGCCTTCAAGTCGAATGTTTCTTCTCAGACCACTAGCATAGGCTGAGTGCACATGACAGGCTGCCTCGTGGGTCTCCCCGAGGGCACCTGGACTCCTGCGTGTGCCTGTAGCTGCATGAGTGTATGCTTTGAGAAAAGAAGCAGAGACACTCACAATACACATTCATGGTCACTGTGGTCACCACCGGCTGGAAAACGGCTTCATTGTTGGCGTGACATGTCAACTCTCTCCCATTGTCAGATCTCAGAGCAGTGACTCTTTCAGAGGTAACACAAAACAGAAAATAAATGACATGTTTAAATGAATGACAGTGCTCATAGTTCTCTTTAGTTGATATGGATAAACACTGGAGACCTGCAGGGGTGTAGGAAAGTCCTTGACAATTTTGTTTATTTTTGTAATGCAATTGAAAATGACACTATATTTTACAGATTTCTTTCACACAGTTATGGATTTCAGTTATTTAGTTTTTTTCTTTTTTTTAATTGATTAAATTTAGTTTACAGCTGCTGAAAAATTAAAATTTCAGTTTATCAAAAAAATGAGAATCTATATAAAAATCTGCCAACTCTTAAATTAACTCTAAACACCTGAAGGTTTCTTGAGGCTTTAAACAATCTCTCACTCTAGATCAGTAAGCTGCATAATCTGCTAACTTGAGAGATGTACTTTTTGAGACTCTGAGGTGTACTTGTGATAAATTTGACAATTTCTAGCCCAAATCTGCAGGAAAACTGTATCACATTACTCATGCCAAAAATTTGTCTCTTTTGCCATTTCATACATTTACATTTTGGACATATACTTATAGTTTTTATGGTACAAAAAGAAGCTGTCTGGGAGATGTTAAATTCCAGCCATGCATCGATTTTCACCCATCTTGGGTACATTTCATGTCTACTTGAATTATAAGATTATTTAAATCAATGGTATGTTCTGATTAGTTTCAAAGAGATGAAATGGTTTGTTTACATACAAAATATAACTTCCACCCATCCATTATCTAACAACCTTTTTCTTGCAAGGCCACTGGTTGCTGGTTCCCATCTCAAGCAGTCAATGGGCAAGAGATGGGATTCAACGGGATACCCAGGGGGAATATACAAACTCCATGCAGAAAAACCAAGGCCGGGACTGAAACCCTGTACCTTCTTGTTACAAGGCAAAAGTGATGTCATTGTGCAGCCCCAAGATATATTTTTTGATAAAATGAAACTTATTTAGGATGATGCAAAAATATTAAATGGAGGAACAAATTATGGAAGGGGAAATTGAACTTGATCCAAAACTACCATTACCTACTTGCTTTTACTGGAATAATGTGTAAATAACAGTGAACTGAACTCTGGAAAGGCAGTTACTTCAAACTAAAGCAAGTGAGAGTTGAGTGCCTTGCTTAGGTTATCCAAAAAATAAGTCATGTTCTCTTTGCGTCAGTCAAATGTGCTTCATTTGAAAACTGATCATCCAAATACACAGAAAATAAGACCAATTTAATTTGTCGCTTTAAACATACGCTTACTACATCTTCTTAAAAGTGAAATATTGTGAGGTGTTGAACCAATATAGAAAACACCTTCCCGTTTCAATTTTCCAAACCAGTGACAAATCAATAACGGAAATAACAAATTGCTCTCCAAGCAGCAGCCCTGACTTTTTCTTATTTCTGACTACTTTTGTTTATGAACTCTCTTTCCAAACACTATGTTAACACAATAAATCAAAATCAGACGTTATATATGAGTGGAAGAGTTAGCCATCATACTTTTTTCTATTTGGGATTTAACCACTATTGAATGATCTGAACTGAGGAATCTCAAAATTTTATAAATACCACTTTTTCCAAACACTGAAACCTGTTAAAACATACAAGCAAACATACTTTCTTAGTATGTTTTTGTGCAAGTATGTTTTCTCGCACAAAAACGAGAAAAGAAGAGCGTTCCTTCTTGTTGGAACAACATGAGTAACTGTGGTTGTATTCATGCAAATACTGTAAGCTCTTCAAAAATGTGGCTATGGATTTTGGTTTTACTTAGAAAACAAAAATTTATAGTTTTAATTGGAAAAGCAAACTGAAAGAATTATATAGGCCAGCCAGCTCATTTTGAAGTCAAGTTGCGTTTATATCCACTGAGTTAACAAACAAATTTCTCTTTTGGTTGCCATTTGCAGCCATTTGCCAAGGACCATTTATTTTTCTTAGTGCTTCTTGGCTGTACATCCAAGAGAGGTACATTTGTTGTCTGAACTTTTAAAATAGGAAGGTATAAGTAATCATGGAGGGGGGGTCTCAAACATTTTCAGATTTTAGCTGTTTCCATGCAACTCTGTTTCTTAATTCTTTCAAACACCAGGAGTCTGCTATACACTGTCCAATGAGTAAATTAGTTGGCAGAGCCCACTGATTTTCAGATTGAAACTATTAAATGGTTAGTTTGAGTTCAATGTCATTTCCAGGAGCAGGTTAAGACAATAGGACTTGTTCACCATCGTCCACTTCAGTTGGTACCAGAAGTTTTACTGTTGACAAACTAGCTAACGTGTAACATATTTGGAAGTGCACAAGGTGTCGTCAGAAAAGAAAGGTGCAAAATGAACGGATCAAAATATAGAACGTAACTGTCAGTTGTGACCTGAACAAGTCCTCCATTGCTTTTCATGTGCAGTCAATGCAGAGCTGGTGCCCCCTACCTACTGCTGAGAATAGGGGAACTGTTTTATAGCACACATCCTTTCATCGTGTCCCCAGAATTTAGATGGTTTCTGACATTTTGACTGAAGGGCCGGCTCACTGCGACAGCATTCATACAAAAATCTCCACTTGCTCTACATCACAGTTAAATTCTTTCTATTTACCCACCAAATATTCACATTTATTCTGGTGCTTTTTCACAGTTTGAGAATTATGAATCTGACAATCACAGAAAAGAAAATAGGAAAGTATAGAGCAAGGGTCTTCATATACCCTTAATGTCCTCCAAAACATTTATTACTTCTTTTGGCCTTGAAGTTAATTTTCCATGCCAATTTCTCTCATTTAAAGGTAAGCAATGGCAATTTCCAGCTCATCTATGGTATTACTGTGTATTTGACTTTACTTCTATTCTTGAAATAAAACAAACTGAAAAGGAACGAGGGGAAAGCTTTGTAGTCTAAATGACCTAAACCATATGATACAAAACTGTGCTTGTCAGAATTAAATTGCTTAATTAAAATTTTACTCAAAAAAGACTATTTGGGTGGAGTCCCAGATTACGGCTGGCGAGTTAGTGACCAATAGTGTACAGCAGCCAGCCTGCTAGTCAAAGCAGGTCAAATGCAATAACTTATTGACAACTTGGTGTGTCTATGAATCCATAAAGTCAGCATTATGCAAACCATTTTAAGGTAATGAAGGCTTGTAGGTAGAGAATCCTTAGACGCAAATGAGAGCTTGAGAACTTGTCTGTCTTTTTTTTTGTTTTTTTAGGGGGAGAAAATAACATTTTGCTTTTGAGTCTCTGTGTCAATAAATCAAAAAATGTGCAGTGTAATGCAGAGAGAAATCTTCACAATAAGTTTTATTCTTGTCTTGTTTGGGTTTCAGTTTATGTATTTTAAATAAAACTACAGTACAGTGACATCTGTTCAAATCCCACAAGGCCTGCTGCTCTGCATGCTCACTGTGATTATAAAGAAAGAACATCAATATTGCTTAAGACCTTGGCTCCAACTCTGGAGGGCTAGACAATAGCACAGCTCCTCAGTGCAAATGTTATCTCAGAATATGACAAGAGGTTATTATCTCTGACACTGAGGAGACGCACAGGATTAAAGCAATCTATGCCCCTGTTTAATGTATAGGCACCTGGTGAACCAGCGAGGTTCGGCTCTGTCTCGCTGCTGCAATGTAATTTCGTACATTTGACAGGAGCTAATTCAGTCGAGCGGTGGCAAGTAACAGTTGACTTGTCTACGCGCTGAGATTCATTGTATTCGCAAAGACAGATGGAGAAAATAAGAACACTTTGAAAACAAGGAAAACAAGGAGCCCAGGCAGGCTGGGGGGAGATTGAGCGGGCTGGTTGAGGAGAGTGAGTCTGGCAGGCGGTGGAACACATACGTTACTTCAGTGTGCGTGTTCAGAAGCTTATCCTTTGAGCCAGATGTGGTAAAAGACGTTTCACCTGTCACATCGACTCCATCTAGAAAAGACACAGTGGGGAGGAGATGCACAAATAAGACGAGTCTGTAGATGTGTTCACATGAGTCAGACGCATCAGTGTTGCTCTCACTTGAGTAGTGAATGTGCAAATAAGGAATCCTACCATCTTTGTTTCAATGTGTCTGAATTAAAAACAGCCATTGCTCGATTATGAATAGCTCAGGATGCATATGAATGAAATACCTTTTGACCTCATTTCATCTAAAACAAAAGGAGAGGCTTGCATAGTTTTAGCCCCATGCAGTGTAGCCTCTCATTAGTTAAAGTGAGCAACTAGAAACTTGTGATATACACTGAAAGAGTAATTGTAAAGTCAGGAGGAAATTGGAAATTCAAATTCTCAGGCTATGTCCTCCCACACAGAGTCTCGTTTCCTATTCCAGAAATATAAAAAACTCAGAACTTATTGCTGAAACTGAATTCCATCCTCCGAAATGTGTTCACGCTTGAACATTCAGGTCACGGCCTATAGAAGATCCTGAATGCAGAACATTTTAAAAGGGCTGCAACCCTTCTTTTCTAAGCTGTTGTCAGATTGAAATCAGCTGGAAAGCTAGAAAGGCTCTCACCTTTATACAGAGTGATATCAGCTCCAGGCTTTGCATCAGGGGCCACACACTCAACCTTGTACTTCTTTCCAGCCACCCAGGGTGTTGTCACATCCGTGGCAAAATATGGCTTCGATGGGGGAACTGCAGACATGAAACAATTTGTTTTCATATTAACTTCAAGGTCAATATTACAATGCTTTGATAGATCAACACAAAGTGGTGAATAATTGTGAAGTGGATGCAAATGAAACATATCATTTTTTAACTGAAATAATGACAAAAGTATGGCGTGCGCTTGCATTCTATCCCTTTGTTTCTCTGATGGCCCAAAAAAAAAATCAAGTCAAACCAATTTAAAAATTGCCTAATCAGGGAGTTGATCTGTAAATCCAACTGCTCTACAAGGAACATCAGCGAACTATCAGCCTAATGAAAACAAAGGAACACGCAACCAGGCAGGTCAGGGGTAAAGCTTTGGAGATGTAAAAATCAGTTTTGAACGTCTCAGATTCCTGTTCATCATCCACCTGAGAAAGGAGTTTTACAAAACTGCATCTTCATCCCTACCAAAACATTACATTTAATGGAGAAATTCCTCACCCTAAGGTGTTAGTTTACCCTGAGCTATCTCTGCTGGTGTGCTGCTCTTGGGTTTGGCTGTGGGGCAACAAACAGATCCCTTATCCATACTCATCTACTTTCTTTTGCTACTACTCTCCAGTTTGCATTATTCTCTGTTACTTCAAGTGCTAACTTTATGTTTTCTGTCTTTTTTTCTTTACAGTAAATGAACTAAATGCACCTGAATGGAAAACTAACATGCCAATTCATCTTGAACAAAACTTCCCTCAAGTGAACTCTAAGCACACATACAGAGCTACAACGCAATGGTTTATATGATTGATATTCAAACAGTTTATAGCAAATTTTGAAGGTGAAAAGATTGCAATGCTGTTAAAATTTTGAGTGATATGCAATGGGGAGGTTTGATGTAGTATTATGTTTGATTTCCATTTGTGAGCAAGACGATTCACTAATACACTATACAGAAAACAAATTTCTCTCTCTCGTCCTTTCTGGATTAACCACAGCAGTCTTCACGTATCTCCTATTCAACATGTCAGTTCTTTTATATGACCATGACTAGGAAAGAGAACAACAACATAGCTTTTACCACAAGGGACCAAGAATCGTTTGGCAGTGAATTGAGAAATCTGCCATCAGCCTAATTATCAAAGAGATTCTTCAGATCTATCAGCTCCCACCAAAAGAACTGTGTTATGTCACGCACAAACTACAGAGAAAATGTCCGCCTATTGTGCCAACTTTCAGAGAGTGGGTGAGCCATGGAGTGCATGGTTGCAGTAAAGGTTTTTTTTCTTTCATCAGAGATCAAGTGCAGAGGCTGTCTGAGCTGAGAAACAAAGCCGAGAGTTGGTATGCATAGGAAAAATAGGTGAAGAGGGAAATAATATGATATGTCAAGAGAGAAAAGTCAGCATAAGATGACATTGCTCCGCACTCTTACAACGTTTAATATAAATCTGGGAAAATCAGCCAGCCATTAAACAAACAGCTCCTTTCCACCTTTTTTTCACCAAATACAATCTATCCTACACCACTAGGAGGAGCTGTTGCAGTGTCCAGAGTCGCACACATGCTCTGGTCTGCTATTGAGACAGATGAGATGTGGCTGCAGCTTCAAACTGATTTAAAAGAAGCAATTGAATCTGTGTGGACTGTGATGGGTTACCCAGAGCACTGGAGAGGCGCATGCCGCAATAATGAGATGCATTTGTTTGTTTTCTCCCCCCATCCTCCGCCTCCTCCCTGAGAAGTTGACTAGGCCATGCATCTATTGACAGCCGCTGCACTCTCAATCTACTCACAGCAACACAATTCACATGGGCGCATCACTTGTTGTGCTTGAGGAGCATCTGGCAGCCCAACAAATCCTAAAAATAAGAATAATGATATGTTCACAAATGAGCCAGGCAGGTTTCTAATTTCTACCTCCCTCCCTGAAACACCATCCTGTCCCTTGTATCTCTTGTTCACTTCATCATCCCCCAGCTCACTTCGCTCCCCTAAATGCAATCCTTCTTGACCACTGCAGCAAAACTGCAGAAGTGAGGAGGAAGGTGTATTCTGTCTTGGACTTGGAACTTGCATCTTGCCATCCATCACGTACATTGGGGCACACCATGAGATCAGATCAGCATGGTCAGGAGAAAGTTACACATTCACACAAATCCCTGCATATACGCGTCTTGCGAAAGTGTTTATACGCCTTGAACTTTTTCATGCAGTATTTTTCCATGTAAAACCACAAACTTTGATGTACTTTAGTGATATTTTGTGCAATGGACTAACACAGAGCAGTCTATTATCATAAAGCAGAGGAAAATCATGTGGGTTTTTTTTTTTCAAAATTAAAATCTGAAAATTTTTCATTTACCAATTTTAACCTCCTTATTTTATTGTTTAGAGACCCACATTTCACTTCAATTACCAACTTTTGAGACATCGATCTGCCAACTCAACAAGTACAGAGATTGAAATTGTGACATTTCTGTGCAAAATAGCTCGACCTGAGCCATAATGGAAGGAAACTTTTTTTGAAAGACATTGAAAGGTTCAATGTCTTTCAAACAACTGGACAGACTTACTTTGAAAATGAGCAAATACTTTAGCCTCTAGTCAAGATCTACAAAAAGGAGTTGACACACATACTTTCCATACTAGCTGAACTTGTCAAAATGCTAAATGAAAAAAAAAAACATACCGGTTTCCTTTCACTTTACATCTATTCAACATATGCATTCCCCATGTTGTCACTGCAATGTAACCACAAGGTCCAATGGCTGTTGAACTACCCGATTGGTGTATTTGTTGAATGGTGAAAGGGAAAAAACATACATAAATAACATAAATAAATCATTTTTAAAAATGTATTCACTTTTTTCAGACATGCACCCAGAGCTATTCATAAAAAACAAACATGCAGTTTCTCTAATTAACCCCTATAGCCCCTTCTTAGTCTACATGCCAGTCATTTATTTTTCTTCAACATTCCCTTGTCCTCTTTATCTCTCGCTTTCATCAAGGTACATATGAAAAACACAAAATAGATTATGCAAGGACTTGTTCCTGCAGTTCAGAAGACAAACAGTGAGCAGCAGAATCTGAATTATTAGACAAATACAGACGGATGGATGGATAAAGCAGAAAAGAACCAGATTAGCAGATGCACATTAAAATGCATAAGCAGCTCTTCCCACCTATCCTTCTCCTTCATTCACATTGCTTTCTTTGCTTCTTGCTGCACAAACACCCAGAGATAAACTAAAATCTACAGTGCATGCAGATTTGCGCAGCTACCCAGCAAGCTGACACAGGTGAAGGAAATATGCAGATTTTCATCTTGCTCTGCGTTAAGTGTGTGCACGGTCTAACATGTGATACTAACATGATTCTCCGAATGATGCTGGCCGAGGAGATAAGGAGTCTCTAAAAAGCTGATTGTGCTGAATAGGACGGAAAATAATGGAGATCTGAGTTCTTAACAGCAGACACACTGCACTCATCAGTTTTATCTGTTGGGGGGAAAGCACATTCACACACATTCACACATCAGCTCTGGTGCATATTAGAGTGTATTTTTATTTTGCATAAAAACACACACTCCTGCTTACACATATGCATGGATTGTAGGTCTCAGGTGTGTGATCTGTGGCAATAAAAACAGCTGAAACAAAGTTCCTTTTATACCTTATCCCTTCTTTCCTGGCTTTCTTCCCCCTTCTCCTTAACGATTCAGAGGAAAGATGTTGAGCAAACGTGTAGGATGAAAATCAGATCTTCACACAGTCCCCCGATCATTTCTTCATTCAACCAAATGTAACTTGTTTTGACTGTATTACATAACTGTTAAATTCCCTTTTTGGAAAATCTACCTCCCATTTGGACTCTTGTGGCCAAAGCTAAAAATATATGACAAACACGCACACACTCACACTCAAACATGGTTTGTGCTCATTCACTTGTAAATCTGCTGTCCTCACATGGTTCTCCCATAAGATACATTAATATTTTATTGGAACAATATAATCAAATACTGACAATTAAAGAACAATACAAGATATGTCTTAATAAAATCTTTAGTCTCACTCTGTTTGGTCTTTTTGGCTGCTATCATCCTATATAACCCCACTTTGCCTATAGCAGAGAAATATATCTTCTTTAACAGTACCAGAGAATGGTGCATACAGTGAAGCATTTATCTTCAGACAATCTTACTATTTGGCCCAAAGTCCTGTTTCCTGTTTTGTGGTTTCTTCTCTAGATTATCACAGAGGTTTCCATTAAAGCTAAGGCCTGGGAAATAACACAACCATTGAGAAACGCTGAAATATATCTTGAGGAAGAATGCTCCACCATCCTTTTACAACCCATCTTTTTTTCTTTGTATATACATGTATGTGTGTGTATGGGGGGTATGTTCGTTTTTCTGGATGAGCTTGTACTGCCATAACATATTTTATTTTTAGACGTTACCAGGAATACCAATAAGTGGAGGGTCCTGTCTATGCTAATTAAATGTTCAAGATAGAATTAAAAGGAGCCTCTTAAGTGTCCCATTTCACTATTAGGCATGACGTCCCCTGGTAGTTATGAAGGCAGAAACTGACGCTTTAACATCAGTCGAGCACTCTAATATGCACACCATCACATCAGTGCAAAACTCATCAACCTCTGATGAGAATATATCTTTGGTAGCTGTCAGAACTTTTTAAGAACAAGGATGAAAAAAGTCGCTGTGCTTCATGTTGGTTGTGCCCCGATTTATAAGTTGCTCCATTATTCATAACAGGGAATCAGAAAATGAAGGCTCATTATATACTCTTCAAGAGCTAAACTCATTAGCTACCACCGAAACCTTGCCATAGCCCCAGTTCCTAAAATGTCCTCTAACCTCGAAGCAGCTGTGATAATAAGCTCATACAGCACACGCACGCACACACTCAATCACAAACATATGCATATTTCTGTAATATCCGGCAGAATGAGTAATTCAGTCTAAAACCAGAGCACATCAAAAAACTGTTTTGAACATTTGCAGGAGGTATCTGTATAGGCACGCAACATGATGAGAGAGAGAGTTGTTCATTAATAGGATTAAATGCTAAGGCTAATGGTACAAACCGAGACACAGGATGTGTCAGGTATGTGATATGTGGCACCGTGCGGGGTAAGTTTTAGCAGCAGAGGGAGGAGGAGGTAGGGGGTTTCAGCAGAGGTTGTTATTGTCATGGATTACTCACTGCCACTTGATCTGCCTATAGCAGTAATCCCCTATCTAAGCTCCACAGAAAGGCAAAAACACACAGGAGTTATGTTACACCAATGGATATGTCTTGAAAACATCTCTTTGTAAGCCCATGGAATGGGGACTTTATTGACATTTCTCTCTCTTCCCCTCGCTATTCATTTCCTGCGGTGATTTATCTTGAATTAGTCAGTCATGATACCAATATTACAACCAGCAATTTCAGTTTGGCTTTATTTTTTTGTAAATTCCTTCCCCTCTTTCATAAGGCAGGTCTTCATAAAGGGTTTATAGTGTTTTGATTTGATGCAGAGCTTGATGGGATCTGGCCACGGTTGACCGATTGGAGAAGGGAGGGGTACGTGGGGGGGGGGGGGGGGGGGGGGGGCTTGGGAGCAATCGTCGCCTTGATGGAGGAGTCTATGGGAAACTCATCAGAGGCTTGGCTTTCAAAAAGGATGCACACTTTCCAGTCCCAGCTCAGCACTAACACAAGATTGTATTCATAAGCTCATTATGAAGCCTGTGATTTCTCACATAGTTTGAATCACATGAACAGCTGGGGTGGAACTAATGATCCTTTAGGACAGACATTTTCAAAGAGTTTTGAAACTCATCGCTTCATTCTTTAACCTTTTCGACACGTGTAGGTGTCCATTCTGAAACGTAAACAGCCAAAAAACACAAAACCAGCCGTTTGTCAATTGTGAACAAGACTCATTATCTGAGAGTGTCAGAAAGATGCCCAGTGCTATGCAAACATGATGCCTGTGTATTTTGACCTTTCTGGCAGAGTCAAAGGCAATCTTGTTGGTTTCATGTACGTGGGCGTGCATGTAGAGGGCATCTCAGAGGTAATAAATGTGGGAGTCAAACCCGCTGTGGCTGCAGGTGTAAGGCGGCCTGCTGCAGGATACAGAGCTGCTGCAGAGCAGAATGGAGCGCAGTCATTTAAAAGAGACGTCTGCAGTCTATGGCTCTTGCTACCCCGCATCACCCGCCATCCCTCCTGGCAGCCCATTGATGTCAGAAAAACCTGCTCTCTTCCCAGAGGAGAGAGACTGCTGAAACTGCCACAGCGAAAACCCTTTCAACCCCCCCGTCAAACCTTCACCGCCACCCCCACAACCGTATTACCAAAGAAAAAGCCTGAACACAAGGGAGAGAGTAAAAATTTCAGTGACAGAGAAAATGGGAAGGGGCTGGGGGTGGGTCTAAGTAAATGAACTGTGCCTGGAGAAGAAAGGTTCTTTTAGAGTCCTTCCCTGACCACATATGGACTCACTCCCACAGGCAAGAACGATGGGAAAGGGTCGTTATAGAATGACAACAGGTGGTCCAGTGTAGTCTTACGGTTACATATGTTTCACTACATGTCCAAATTAAACTTTTCAATCACCTCTGTAATAATTTATTCTCTGCAAGAGAGAGACATTGAACTATCTCCCTTTAGGCTTGCCAGGCTGCACTGTCACCTTATATGTTACAGATGGTGGTAATAACCACCAGACCACTGGTAGAAGGATTTGAAAAAAAAAAAAAAAGATATTTAAGATGTTACAAAATGTTTCTAGAATTTACCGAACCATCTCAATAAATAAGATTATCAAATAGTTGCTTGAAAAAGTTAAACTAATATTGATTCATTACTCACATGGAAGTTTATGTCTGATGTTTAATCTCTTTATTTGAAAGTTGCAGCTCATGAAAATGTTGTTTTCCACAAACGAGAATATTGGATAAGATCAATAAAAGTGAAATTTGTGTTGTATGGCCTACACAATCAAATGGGAAACTGCTGAATTGATATTTTTTTCCATCACATTGTCTCTGACATCCTCTTCAAGGAGGATAAGCCACAAAAAGTTATCTCTAAAGAATTATGGCAGTTCACAGAATGCTCTATCCCAAAATATTGATGGAAAGTTTAGTGAAAGGAAAATGTGCGCTTTGAAATGGTCCAAAGGGAAGAGGAATACTGCAGTGTTCAGAGGACTTTTTGAGAGTTTGGAGAGGGCAAAGTGTGAACTGTGGGTGAAAGCTTCAAAAATCTTCAAACAGAAAAGCATCCCAGAACCCATGACGCATTTCATGGGCCATGTGACCAGCTGCTGCTGATCCACTGTTTTATCGAGTCTAAGGACTGGCCAGCAGAATAACCTGTTATAAACGCTATGGAGAATCTGTATTGTCAACAGGAAGGGTCACTGGACATCTTCCTCATAACAGACAAGCTTTGCTACAGCAGCTTCCTTAACATGTCAAATGCTTTATTGTTTATACTAAATTTCTGTAAAACTGCAATTTGTTTTTTTGTTAGCTGTAAGCCATAATCATTAGCATGAATAAATGATTACTACTGTGGTAAATACTACAGGAGATAGACTCCTTCATCAATAATTTCACTAATAATGCTGAAATAAATGAACTTTTCTATAATATTCTTGTTCATTAAGAGAGATATGTACATGTGCTCAAAGGAAAAATTTGAGTTTTCTGTACCAGTGACTCATTCATTTTGTCTCTGCTACATATGCCACAGTATTATCTTGAAAAAAAAGAAAGCTCTTTATCAATAGAAATGAATATTTAACAGCATTTTATATGCTGATTACTGGTCAAGAGGTCAGACATGTTATTGGAGTAGAGATAATGCTTACTGTGCCTTGTAGAACACGTGTCCAGCTACTTACAGACAGACAGTAAGACAGACAGTCAGACTCTCACTTTGTACGGTGAGAAAGGCTGGATTGGAGACAATAGCATCGCTTCTCTCAGATTGGCCGGCTTGGCATTCAAAGAAGGCGTCATCATCGAGTTGTGCATCTTGAATCCTGAGATTATACTGTCCTGTGCAGACACAGAAATGGAGAAATCTACTTAATCAAGAACAGTAGCGTAAAATTCAACAGAGGAAACAGTCACTTTAAGGTTGCCATTCATTGTGAATCATAGTTTAATGTGCAATCGTTCAATAGGATAATTCAACTCTGAATATGTTTAAATGGATACCTCAGGATCTTTGAATTGAGTTTGTGTTAAAAAGGTTACAAACAGCTTTCTTTAGACCACTCAACAATTATTTTATGCTCATTTCTATTACAGAGTTGCCTAGTGTTGCCAAAAAACATCATACCCAAAATTAGAAACAACTTCTAGAATTTCAGACACATGCATTCTATTCTGATACAATAGTTAATAAAGACATTAGTAAGCCTACATATGTTTATATTGCACAACCCAGATCAGGGTTATGATCATTTAATGAGTTTATCAGCAAAACCCCATTCGGTCACCCCTGTGTACACTCCTGCTTCAAGAAACCATGTACACTTTGAGAACTATGAAAGTATCAAGGCATTTATAATAATAGCCATAATATAAAAGGCATATGAATCACCCACTTTATGTATTATGGTTTTATTCTCAATGAAACAGGTGTGAATCTAATTAGCTTCAGCAGTTTATTCAGGATTAACCTCTTAAAAATTCAGATATGAGTTCACGAACACTGTCATTGTAAACCTTTCACAAAAATGCCAAGTGATTTAGCAAAACAAGCGCTTAATACATATAAAAGGGTTCACAATTGTTCTTCAATATACTCTAATGGAACAAACAAAAACTAAAAAGATTTTTCTGTCACTGACTGCTTCAGATACAAAAGATCTTGCTTCTTGTACAATGATAAGAGTAGCTCTTTACAATTTATAAAAGAACAAAATTAACAGTATTCAGTGATATCTGGGTGATCTAGCTATAAATAGACAATTTCCTTTTAGCTGTAGAGTTGAAACATCAAACTCTTTGAGAATCTCTAATTTCTTGCTCCAGGCATTCCAATTGATATGCAAGTTGCAGTGTACTGTATACTTGAAGGATTGTTTTTCTTTTTTTTTTTTTTTGTTTTTCTTCTTTTTTTTCTTGCAGGAGTTTCCAATGCGGTAAATAAAATCCAATCTCTAATTCAAAACGCGAACTGAATAAACTGCCTATTATTTGCTGCCAGACAGAGTCCCTCACTATGTATCTCCCCTCTGCTAGTCTGGCATGCCAATGGGGCTTGATTTGTTTGATGCGTTGCCACAACCTGTGGGGATTAGATGATGCTCACTGTTGGTTTTCCAGCTCCTGATGGCTCACGGCCCACTAACATGTGGAAAATAGTATCTTGGTCTGACAACCACTCAGGCCTAAAAACGCATGTGTCAAGTAAGCTGGCAAGATAATTAACACCAACCAGAAGCAATTTTCACATCTAAGTTATCTTTGAGTGCAGAGAGTAGGAGAGACACTGAAGTCATTAATCACGTTCCTCTTTTCTGAAATTATTCACAAATAGTGCAATCAAGTAGCAGCAAGTGTGTATTTATGGCAGAAGAGATGGTGGAAGGCAGGGACGTGACTTGCCAATTTGTCTATTACTTTTGATTTATTTCATATAGATTACAACCTTAGGAGGCTTTAAGATTGAGTATAGATACAAAGACATATTGACTGCAGTTAAAATGAGTTTTCCCTATGCAAATCCACATTATTTGAACCAAATTAAAGCTGAAAGTATATATTACAACATAAAGTGTTCCTTGTAAATGTGGTTCCTTTATAAAAGTAGTTGTTTTTAAATAAAACTCCTTTCTTTGGTGTTTATCTTAGCACATTTGTTATACTAAATAATTTCCCACAGCAAATTAATTACACCATCGTCTCACATACATAGAAAATTAGATCACAACCTCAATTCAAAGCATGAGTCTTATTTGAACAAAGCCTCGCAGAGAGGGTAACATACTGAAGTGTTTTCTTTTTAAAGAACATTTAATAGGTTAAAATCAATGCGTTTTTTTAACAAGGTGCAAATGGAAACAAAGAATATAAGGTTCAAATCAGATATTTGAGATTTAATTTGTGATTACCAAATCAACAGTTTGTTTTCTACCTAGTCAACTGATGAAAGCAGGTAACATGTTTCAAAAAAAAAAAAAGTTTAAATTTTACAGTTTCAAATTATATCATTTTTCACAACATACTGCAAAGCTTTTACTCATGTCACACACCTTCTCTGTTTCACCAGGTCTGAACTAGTTTTAAGGAACAATGAATGAGGTTTCCTTCTGCTGCACACAATCTGACTTCTGTGAACTGGCTGAAGGCTCTTTATCGCTTTCTATTTCCTTTTCTTCCTCTGTTTGAAATTACAGACTCAAAGGAAATAGAAAGAAACTTTAGTGACTATAAAAGCCTACATGAAACTTTTACCTAGACTGAAGAAATTGGAGGGGAAGGGATTTTCAAGTTTACACAATCTATCATTAGTAATTTTTCATAATAGTCATGTTATTATCATTATGGAAAATATGCAAAACCTTGGTGTTTTTTGTGCTCATTAATAATTACATTTCACCTCATTGATTGGCTGCAGGTCAGGTATAATTAAATCTCTGCTTGTGGGCCAGTCATTGAAAATAAATTAACAAAGACATACTTCATGCTCTAGTGCGCTGAACAAGCTGTTTTATTGGCTCATCTGTGTTTGTCTTTACAATAAGAGCAGTTACAAGAATCAGCCTGAAATCTTGCAGTAGATTAGGACTCATGTCATTCCATATTTATATCACTCCTTTGCTTCAGGGGGTGGAGGGAAAAGGAAGTGCGCTGCATCTACCTTGAGTGTGTGTTGAAATCAATGCTGCCCTCTCTTGTCTCTGTAAAGACATGATTTCAAGCTTTTTAAAGCATAAATAAACACCCCTGATGGTAACAATCAGTGAGAACTGGTGGCCTATCAAGTGCAGTCAAGTGTCATCCCAAATGATTTGGTTCGTTCTGGGCAGAGGAAAGTGATTGCATACATCAGTGTGCAGTTACCTTTCCTGGAAATTGTACCTGTGCTGATGGAGATGTTATTCATAGGTGAGTGGATGAGTGTATAACATGCTGCGTTTTCCTGTGGTTCAAGTGTTCATGGGTGCAGGTTCTTATCTATATGCTGTAGACTTTTTTTTGAATGTTATTTCTTTATGGGCTCTTCGTGATGCTTGCGTTGAATCACTAATCAGCAAATAAAATGACATTTTAGAACTATAAAGGGTAAAAATGTTATTGAATTATTAATTTTTTTATCAATACTTAAAAATAAATTGATTACTAAATTATAGATTCAGCATGGAATGTGTGGCATATGGAAAATCCTTCAGAAGACTTTCATACAGGTGCTATTTTATTTTTTTATTTTATTTTTTTAAAGTTTATGTTAGGCCACTGCTGAATTAGATACAACATGTGTGACTGAAAAGTAGCTCAGTGGTCCATATTATCTTTTTCAAAGAAAGCAAAACTTTCAATTTCTTTTAAAAATCAAATTTCCAAAACCCAGAAGAAAAGTCCAGTGGGATGTTTCACCAGTCAGTCATTTGTTAGGGTTAGTCTGCTGCATTTCCTGAACTCCAAAGTTTGCATACCTGCTATGTGAGAAGTAAGGAGCAATTCATGCTTACAAACTTTAAGTAAATATTGGTTTTATATTTTAATAGAATTTGTTTTATGTATTATTCTATTTTTGTTAAAGAAACTCAAACTCTGACTGCTTGTATAAAAAATATAAATATAAATAACAAAAATGAAGGGTTATGATATCCCACTTGAGAACCTATACAAAATAGAAGGTTTGATATTTGAAAGAATTACAGACAAATATGTATTTTTCAGGGATACTACACATTACTGAGATGCACCTGGATATTTTTGTTGATGTTCTATGTGCATGGACTATGGCTCCCCGAGCGTGCATATGTCACTGGCTGTCTCCCACAGAGTGCAACAGTGAAGTGTGGCTCGTCTAGTTGCAGGATGATCAGGAACAGATGCTCCTCTCCTACTCAGGATTGCCTTCTAATTGGCTATTACTTTTTATAGACTGTGGTGTTCTGCAACACACTTTTTTCCCCTCTGTCACATTTTACTGATTAGCTGACAGTACTATGTTTTTTTTCTCCCTTTTGATATGCTTATGACAGGATAAGTGGAACGTGTAATCTCATGTTTTTATACCAACCCGCTGCATTTATAGCTCACGTTTTTTATGACAGTGTTGCTTGTCAGTTTAACCTCATTTCCTAGATACTTCACTCTGTGAAGTACCTGGAGTATGTTATTTGATGCATCACCAGTTTTTTTTTTTTTTTTTTTTTTTTTTTTGTTTTTTTTTTTTTACTGAAACTATGCAAATTAGTGTTGACAGCCTTGTTCTATACTGCAACTTCACAGTTTAAGCTTTATGGTAATTTCTATGTTGTGTGTCTTTTAAACAAAAAGACTTGCATTGCAAACATATTTACAGTCCTTAAACTTTTGCATACTTTCTTACATCACAAGTCCAAAATTAAGTGTTTTATCTGGATTCTAGGTGATAATCCCAAACCAAGTAGCATGTTACATAAGATATGAATTTGGATTTATTTACAAATTTCCACTTGACAAACAGGAGTATTTCTTTTCACTGTCGCAACATCAGCACCCAGTGTAAGAAATTGCTGCAAAGTTGCCAACAGGTTGTAGTAGGCTGTCCATTGTTGATAACTGTTGATACTCTCTGCTTTGACTAGGTCAATCACATGAATAATGTAGAAATTTAATTGATGTTCATGGATGTTAACAAACATATATTTAAGCTTAAGTGGTATAAAATAATTTCTAGACACCATATTTAGCCAGAAAAAACTATAGCATTTACTCCGTTTGTCACATTTTTGATTCAGCTCAGTTTTTTATTGCTTTCATTTAAAATCAGTCCTACAGACTACTTGGGTGACTTTCCTGTTTACCTCTCCTTCCAATCATGCTGTAGCGTGGGAAGCCTGGCAGGCTTCTCTGAGGTCCCAAAAGAAAGCCGTCTTTCGCCCACTGCACAATCCCCGAGGCCCTGAGGACCTCACACTTCAGCACAGCTGTGGCTCCCATTCGCACAGTGAGGTTCCTGGGCTCAGTCCTGAAGGCCTGCTGGGCATGCGTGCCTGGAGACATAAAAAGCAGAGGGAGGCAAGGAGCTGGAGTGGAAGAGGGTGTAATGGGAGTTAATGCAAAGAGATAAAAACGAACGAGGAAATCGGTGTGCGCAAGGAGTGTTATCAAAGAAGTAAATGAAGTAGAGAGAGCGTGACATAAACATGCACCGCAGGGATGCAGTCCTGTGATCTTTTGTAGGAGAAAGCATCCCATTGTGTGTGGACACATTATTCATCCTGGCATATGTTTTATTGATGGTAAACTGCGGTGATACAGCTCTAAAAACGAGTCAATAAAGTAATTACAGCAAATTAAATCTCCCCTCGGTCACGCAGATATGGTACGGGGAGGAGCAAAAAAAGCAGGGGGTATCAGAGACCTTGTTCACCTGTGGTTTTTCTTTAATGTCGATGACCCACCAGCTAATACCTTCTTGGAAGAGTAATGATTATCACTTTAATTCCCCTTGTTTGTCATAGGTAAGGTTGGCCATCCTTCAGCCAGACTGTGAAGGGAAATTCACTGGTTCAGTGCATCTGAATCAGAAAGGTAACTTTAATGCAGAACTATCACCAGGATGAGGTTTCTATCATTATAATACACAGAATAAATTCAGTTCAAGGAGCCTTGTGCAAATACTTATTCCAATTAGCAGCTCAAATCAAAGCATGGTTCTCATTTAAACAATGCCCTGCAGAGAGGATCTGCCTGATTTCATTGAGTTGCTTAAATCTTGACCTTCATTGAAGCAATGACCAAGTTGTTTGTGAAGTGCATGCTCTGTTGCATCTGACAACATGAGTGAGAGGCAGAGCTCTCAGATCAAGGCTGAACCAGTCACCTCACGTCAAATATGAAGGGCAGGATTGGCCATAACAGTAGATGCATACAAACAGCCAAACACAGAAGCATTTTTGCATACAGTTTACATAAATGAATACTCAACAGACATACAAAATGGATGTGCTTTTCTGAAAATACAGGAATATATCGTATCAAATGCGTGATAAAATTTCATTTGTGTGTTCTTAATTAAAAGGAATTGCTCAAGCCAGAAAGATTTTAGAGTTTCTTAATTTAATAAAAGTGGTGTTCCATTTCATATCAGTATCTGTTTTTAGCTAGTAACAGTTAATGTGATTAAAGAAATACATTTTAGATTTAAGAGGACACTATCGATTGTTGAACTTCTGTTTTAGTCTAGATGTAAGCCATGTTTCTTTTCTTTTTGTGTCTTTTTTCTTTTTTTGTCAAGTAAGTGTTAGTGTCAGCCATAGGTTTTCCATACATCCCTGTCTATTAAGCTCAAACTAGAAACTTCCTGTTCATTTGCTGTTCCTTTAAGGACACTATGGTAAATTAACCAATGTTAATCAGCAACTCGACATGGTGAGATAAGTTAATGTTTAAACTGTGCATCAGAATGGGGAGGAAATTGGATTTCAAGATACTTAAACAGTACATGTTTTTTTTTGTGTGTCACACAAGCTGGCCTACGTAATTTAGATACAGTTGATTTACTGTAATTTTAAGATACGCACAACCGTCTCATGGGTTTACAGAGTCAAAAAAAAGTACGAGAAAATATGCAGTGAACAGCAGGCATGTGGATGAAAAATTATTTCTGGGCAACAAAACTCAAATAACCTCTTGTTACAGCAAGATATGTAGAAAATAGTGTCTCTGAGCGACAACACATCAAACTTTCAAGCAGATGTGCCACAGCAGAAGAAGACCAAATCTGGTGACACTCCTGTCAGCTGAGAATTGAAACCTGAGGCTACAATTCTTACAGGCTCCTGCAAATTGGACAATAAAAGATTGAAAAAAATGTTGCTTGTTTTATTATGCCTCAAATTCAGCTGCAACATTCAGATGGTAAGATCAGAGTTTGGGCCAGACATCATGAAAACATGAATCCATCCTGCCTTATATGTGTCGCACCATACCATACCATGACACATTTTCTTGGTACTCATCTGGAGCATTAGTACCATTTGAGCTTGCCTACTTCCTATCTGAGTGCAGTTACTGACCATTAGTATATATAGCACTGGCAGGGGGTGGAAGAGCTTGATTTTTTTCCACGATTATCTGTCTCATTCTATTCTGTCATTACAAGGTCACTTATTTAACATATAACTAAGTGAACTTATATATATATATATATATATATATATATATATATATATATATATATATATATATATATATATATATATATATATATATATATATTTCTTCTTTTCTTCTATATATATATATATATTTATTTTCTTTTTTTTTCTTAGATACTATAGTTTCTTTAGATTTATGCCACATGGAATTGAACCAGTTGACTTGTCCAGCAAAGGTCTTCCAGTCAGATGTTGGCCAAACATTTTCAAATATAATGTTTAAAAAATATTCACTTTAAAAATGATTTAATGCATATTTCCAATTAAAATTCTTTACACCTAAACTGTGCACATTTTCACAGGTTATGGACTAATTCAATTGTTGAGATATTTATTTAAATGACCCATAAACTATAAATATGACATCATCATAAAACAAAAACTGTGTTATTAGTTTTGGTGTTTTACCATCCTAAGATTGACAGTGGTGGTATTTTTTTTAACAATTTCTCACAGCAATGCAGTTTTATCTCAACAATATCTGGTGTTTAATACAATATCTTGGCGTTGAGCAGTAATAAATGAACTGTCCCAATGACATATGCATTTCCTTAAGTTGAAGTGAAAAAAAAAACTTCTTCCTACTTTCTTTTTCACTAGTTTATGATTAAAATTACATATTTTCTTTGTAAAATTACTCTGCTGCCACCATGCAGCTCGGTTTGTCTCAGTATGTCTGAGTCCCTGCAGTTGTTTTTTGCTTCATTTTAAAGTTACTTAATCTGTGTGGTAATTAACCTTCCTTCTTTACTTCTTGCATTCTACCTTGTTTTCCTCCTGTTTTGCTCTTTGCTCAACTTGTATCATCAATCATTTTGTGGTTTAACTGTAGTCCACCCCTTCTGTTTATTAGCTGTCTGTTCCTTATTGTTTGTCGTGCTGCGCATACCGATATTTTTAGTTTGCACCTTATTTAGTTATTTGTGTATTTTGTCTTGAACCATTCCCTGTTGTTTTGTTCCAAAGCTTGGATTTGTGCATTTTTTTATTTTCTGTATTTTTTCTAACTAAAGCTTCCCTTTTCATTGCTCCAACCTTCAAATGTTTCTTACCTTTTTCTCCTCTCTCACTTCTCTCTTTGGAAATGAACACTCAGATAAAACCTTGCACCATGTTTTTGCTTAAGGATGTCAAACATTTCTATAGAAAAAAAAATAAATGCATATGTTGATGCCATTGCTAAAAATGTGAGATGTTTCTGGCATGCAGTCAGAAAGAACCTCTTTTTTCCTGTGTCTAAAGATATTTTTGTCATTAGTGCATAAATAGGTAAACACTGTATCTATAAAAAAGCATTCACTTGCTTGGATGTTTCACCTTTTTATTCCTTTTACAAAATCATGGGGAACAAAATGTAAAATGTAACTATTTTTTTTACAAGAAAAATTGCTTTTAAAAGTAAAAAGTGAGCTCCATTAAACTTTTAGAATTAGATAAAAATACTAAACATAAAATAAAAGATTTTGTATTTATTTTACACATTTTATGTGTTCCCCCTTTTTAAAGTAACTAACCTAATCCAACAAAGAATCAGCCAATTGGTGCTTGTTGTCTCACAGTGAGTGGAGTGGAAATCACCTAAGTTTCAATGACAATATCTCAAATGACTGTAGTATAATGATGCCTGTGTCCGAAATCCATTCACTGCTAAACCGTGTTCCTGGCTCCTATTATAGCATGAAGACAAAAAACAAATGAGTATGAGTGATCCAGTTTTCAGATGGTTCAGGAATTATCTTTCAGATAGAACTCAATGTGTTTATACAGACGGGTTGAAATCAGAATTTGTGGACATTGTTAAGAATGTCCCGTTTGCTTTTGGTTCCAGTTCTGTTTACCATTAATTAAATTGAATTGGGAAAGTATTTGTAAAACTTTAAGTCCTGTCTGTATGCTGATGATACCATAATTTATCTTGTTCATGGATACAAGGACAGCTAAGTAGCAAAGCCAAATACATAAAACCCAGTTTCAACATTTGCTTAAATATAAATGCTAAACCTGCATAACCGTAGAAACACACAGCAATGCTAGAGCAACACTTAGCCATGGCTGAGAGTTGTTGCCTTCCTTTCGGCTAATTCCAACAATATGAGCATCAGCAGTCTATGTGCACAACTCACTGAACCAACAGTTAATGAAGAGAAAAAATAAGGCTCATTTCATAAAGCCAAAATCTAGTCTTACCTTTGGTGTTCTATTGTCATAGTACGTGTTCGAGAAAATATTTCCCCATCTTCCATCATCCCTGTTGATTGCATTATTTTTGCAAATCCCATGGATTCTATTGGGTCAGATGGTTTTGAGAATTCTCCCTATGAGGCAATTTGCATGCCTGCATGAACCAATAACAATAGTAAAGTGCCAAACAATTTATTGAAATGTCCATGATGTTTAACTTTAGGAACAGTACGCTTTTCAACATCTGTTACTCTGATGAACTGCTTGTTTTCAGATAATCATATCTAAAAATATTATTTCTTTAAAAGGACAAATCTTTATTAGCCTATATTTTTACTATAGCAACATTGGAGGAGGTGGAAGAGTTTGAACTTTTCACAGGTTACCTGTCTCATGTCTGTCACGACATGTTGATAATTTTAGTAAATATGTAAAAACTACATTTTAAAAAAGCTGCATATAACAGCTTTAAATTATGGAGGGGAAAATGGAGTTAATGGACATATTACAGTACGGCCAAGATAGAATCCTGGTTAGTCTTTGTTGATTGAAGGCTATGACCATTGCATTACTTAACACAGAATGAACATGGAATATTTTAGCTGCCCTACATTACCATTACAAATATGTGACAAGTCATATTTACAATAAATCTAATGTATAACACACAGCAGCAGTTACATAAAAAAAAAAAAAAAAACATTTTAAGATTGTTTGGTTTTAGTTTTATCAAAAACAAAAGCACCTTGAAAAGATGGGACCTGAAAAGGCCATTGTTACATAGACTTCAGGTGCACAGCAACATCTGACTCTCTTACCCCAATAAAAACACAGAAATGGTAGAGTCCAAGCAGACATGATCCAAGCCGACACAAACTCCATTTCACCATTGGCACCTGACCTTAAGGAATCCTGAGAGAACCATAGACAACAAAAATTGATTAAAAAATGCACAAATGTGAATTCAGGGTTAAGAAGTGATGGTCAGTACAATTTTCAAGTCATGAACTATAATGGTATAAATAAAATTTTACTGAACAGAGCTCCCAATGAGAACAATATATTTTTTTTAAATAAAAAACTCAAAATGCAGTGTTCCAAATTATTATCCACAGCAGATTATATATATATATATATATATATATATATATATATATATATATATATATATATATATATATATATATATATATATATATATATATATATATATATATATAAAATATAAACTTTATAAAACTTTATATAAACTTTATTTTCTGTACTTTCTTGACCTGAAGGAGAGCTTTGAGAGGTTGGAGAGGTTGGTGGATTTTAAGTTCAGCTAGTAATCGCTTCAATTTATCAGCTGCAATAGTGGAACAAATAATAGTGATTAACTTAATTGAAAACTAAATATTTTCTCAACTGAATAGGCAAAATGAATTGGTGGCAACTGCTCTTTGACGCATCTCCCCCGTCGATTAGTTGCACTCCAACAGACTTTGATAAGACTTAACTTGCACTCAATTATTATTTGCTCTCAAAACATTTTGTGCATTTCACAGCCTCTACTATACTCTTAGAGCACACCAAGCCAATTATATCCTTCTTAAATGAACAGAAAATCCTCTGTGAGGTTGAAAATGTCCATCCTCTCTTTATCTCTGCCACATGTGGGTAAACACAAATGGTATTATTTCATCATTCCATTTGTTCTCTTTTTTTCATATGGACTGCAATGTACTACTTTTCTTTTCATAAGTGAGTGATTTCACCTCACAATTAAAAATCCAAAATATCATTCATTCCAATGGGATTCAGAGCTTAAACATCAAATCTTTACTGTGAGGAAGGGAAATGTTAGTCCAACACACAGAAAGGTTGCTGCTAGCCTCATGAGTCACCACTTTCTTTGGGACTCTTAATGAAAGCAGACATGGCCTGTCTGACCTCCCCACATTGCCATTACCTAGTTAAACAACCTCCTTAATTGCTTTAAAAATACAGCGACTCCCAAGAATGTTCATTAAATGGTGCGAGTTTGTTTACTTTGTATGAGAAGTCTCTGATGGTGTCATATTTACGGAATAAGTGTTACATGTTATTCAGATTGAGATTAGATAAGTAGTGGATAAAATGGTTATTACATTTTTCTTTAAAGAAATGAAAAGGATTTTGCCACAAGAGCTCTTAACACTGTATTTTTTTTTTTTTTTTTTTTGCTTTAACCTTGTTCTTCACCAGCTTCTTACAAATGCAAATTGCCAAGTTTGATTTGAAATTTGATTTGCTTTAGAAAAAAAAAAAAATGCCTGTACTCCCCGCAAAGACATAAGAGGCAGGCAAGCCTCGTTTTAATGGCATCTTTCATAACATCATCAACTGACTCACTGCACTCAGTCCAGGACCAATTTAACGCAAAACTCCATGAAATCAGTCAAAGTGCAGAAAGTGCTGTTTTACCCCTCGTGCAGCAGTTCAACTTAGTCGTGGTCTGACATCTTAATGCCAACCTAAGGATTTTTTAAATCTCGTCATTTGCCTGTAGGTGTGAACGGTCACAACGGCTTCCATGGGAACCATGCCAGCTTGAAACTTAAATGATGTTAAATTTAGAGACAGTTTTTGAGATGCAGTTTTGATTATCAACAAAATCATGTTCAAAACAGAATATTTGCTTGTGATTTGTATTTTGTAAAACGTCTTGCTAAGTTGTAAGGAGTTTCATGCCAAGATATTTCATGACATTAAAATATCACCACATTTTATGTCAAGTAAGGTCTGTCTCACAAAGTACTTTCCAGCTCCTATCACTATGTAGCAGTGACTAGAGAAACTGGTGCAAGATGTCGGCAAAGCCCTGAATTTGAAAGTTAGAACTTTATACTTCACAATTTTAATCAACGTTTGAAACTGTTGGCTATTAAAGTTAGCTAAAGTATCAGTATCATTTTTACAGATTTCTCACTTTATTAAGAAGTCTTTGATCATCTTTAATTTAAAATATGAATACTTTCACTGGTTAAACCTGAACTTGAAAATTTTGCACCATAAACAGATTACTTAAAATCTGACAAATTGGACTAATTCACCACAATAGTGTGTGAAAACACAAACAGGAGCTTTTTGATGATATTTGTCATTAGGACTATGTTAAATTTAAACCAACTTAATACATTTTACATACTCATTGGCTGTGATCGTGACTATAGAGGCCACACAGTGAACTCATTTTACAGTCTTTAAGAAATGCTCAGGCAGGGTGTGATGTTTAAAGAAGGCTATGCTAATACTAAGAGAGCCAAGAAAATCATCCCTTTGCACACATACACAAATCATTACACCATCACCCCCAGTTTAAAAATTTGATTCAAAACAAGATGGATCCATGCTTTCATGTTTATTTTTCTTTTAAATCAGGATCCTACCATGTTACTGTTTGAGCTGAAATTTAAACTCATCGTAGCTGGAAACATTTTTGTCCAAGCTGTCCATCTTTGGTGAGCCTATGTCCATTATAGACTCAGTTTCCTGCTTTTTGCTAACAGGACTGGCAATGTGGTACTTAACATGTCTTTCCCAATTGCTGAAAGGTTCGAAATATTACACGTTAATAGATAATATAATGCATACATTGGTTGTAGAAAGTGGATATTGCAGCTTCTGTTGCCTTTCTTTCTGTGTTTTTTGATTCCCTGTGAACCTATAGTTTGTGAATCTTTTAAACGTTTAATATATCTGTGAAAACAAACAATTGGGCATTGTCAGTTTCCCAAAAAAATGTAATCAAAAATGTCATCTTGTCTTGTTCTTGTGAACCCATTTAGGCTGAATGGATTATCATGCTACTTCTCATTAGGCATTATTGTAATAAAAAAGTACAAAATGAAAAAGTGTGACTGGGAGATTCCTGCCTTCTAATTCAATAGTCAAGTATTGGAGATTCCTGAGGCCTTGAAGAGAGCCCAAACTCAATATTTGTATGGTTTGTCTGTTTTCCTTTACAGCCTTTAAGTTTTCTGAAATACAATGACTTCACTTCACACTCTTCTACACCTGCTCTCCCAAGAAAAGGGCTGAAAAAGAGAGGCAAATCCTCCTTTAAACATCTACCAACTCAAGTATATTTGCCTGCCTAAAGCACAAAGTGCGAAAGCAGGAGGCAGACACTCACAGAGAGGGAGTTTCTTCTTTAAAAAAAAATAAAAATCTTTTAATAGTTTTATGAATTTGTATGAGTGAAAGAGAGCAATAACTTACCTGTTGAGTGACACCAAGGCTCAGGAGCAACTTTTTGTCTTCCTGATCTACAGATAGCTCTCTGAACGCAAGTGAGCAACCGAGATGTTAAAGAATGCCAATGGGACTCTCCCCTTCACTCACTCCTTCCTCTATGTCAGAGAGATACAGATAAAAAGAGAGAGAGAGGGAGAGAGAGAGATGCTACATTACACAAACTGAAGATGGAAGTGAGGTTGTGTGTATATGTGAGTCTGTGTGTGTCAAGCGTGATGTCTTGCAAAAAATATCCATACCCATTGAAGAGTTGTATGTTCTATCACACTACAACCACCAGTTTGTATTGTGGTTTGTTTTATTGGGATTTTAAAGACCCAGACAAAATAGCGTACAGCTGTGATGAGGAAGGAAAATTAAAATCCATCCATTTAACCCTTGACCCTAGTGGTGTCGGGAGTTCTGCTAGTGCCTATCTCCAGAGGTGGGGTACGCCCTGGACAGGTCGCCAGTCTGTCGCAGAGGAAAATTATATATAATTTCCAAAGATTACAAGTAAAAAACTGAAAAGTGTGGTGGGATTTCATATTCATCTTCCCTGAGTCAATACATTGAAGAACCTCTCTCACTGCAGTTGCAGTTGCATTTTATTTTTTTTAGCACCACACTGATCCTGATTAGAAAATAGATTTTTGTGAGCATAAGTTTTCAAGTCTTGCCACAGAAGCCCAGTTGAATTTTGGTATGGGCTTTTAACACACCTTCTTAACACATCAATGTATTTTCCAGACTCTCCTTGTCAAGTCTTTTGTAGTCTCTAATATAGTTTTATTAACCCTCACAAGTAGTGGCATGCATTTGGCATCACTCACATGCCTATTACCTCTAATCAACTTAAACTTAATTTCATCTGAACAGAGCATCCTGTTACCTATGTTTGCTGCGTCTCCTGAAATAGTTGATGGTAAACTGCAAACAGGATGTTTTATGTTGTTCTTCTTCTCTTTCTTTAAACAACACCTAATTTGTGTAGTGCAGCACAAATTCGTACTCTGTCATCAGATTCTTCTACCCAAGTAGTGAATCTCTGGAGCTCCTCCAGAGTTGGACCTCTTGAGAACTTTTCTTGTTATTACTCTCCTCGTCTTACATGGATGGATGTGTCTTTGTAGGACAGCATACTTTTTCCATTTACAGATGATGGTTTGAGCAATTTGGTTAGATCTAAAGGCACTTGGTTGTACTGGGTTTTATTTAAAAGTATCACAATAAAGAAGGTTGGCTGTAATGTCCACACTTTGGGAACCTTTACACAATGCTTCATCAACTTGGTTTATTGTTGTTTTTTTTGTGAAAGTAAGATGTATTTGTGTTTTGCTGTTGCTCATTTGATCTTGTCTATAATTTCAGGACAAGACAAACACCAGTTTTTTTATTTTATTAATTCGTTTCTATGGGTAAAAAGGAAATCAAAGAAGGGCCGATTTCTGAGCATTACAATGTGCTTTGTTGGAAGGAGCAGAACTGCTTCAAATTTCCTGATGTAACAAGGATGTCTTCACCGCTGCCAGTCTGTAACACTTATACATAATAAATGGATTCAGGACTTCACACATAACTGTATTTTCTGCACTGAACACTACCAGGCTGATATGCTCCACTGCAGAGTTAGAGACAGGGACCAGTCAAATTCAGTCTGAGAAAAGTTTTTTTTCCCAAAAAATATTGACCCTCTAACACTTTTGTCAATTATATACTTCCAACTGAATGGTGTCTGGAGTATACCACCATTTGCTCAGTGGAACATACTGAAAGCTCTCCTGGCGAGGCAACTTAAAAGGTCATGTTTGCTTCCCCTTCCACATGTATCTTTCAGCTGATCATCCGATGCTCTGCTGCACTTGTGCTGTGACTCTGTGTCGACTATACCAGCCGAATGTTTTATGAGTCTATCCCTTAAGCAGTTACATTGGGGCATCTGCAGTTCAGCTGTGCAATAAAAATATCAAGTGATGTCTGTTAAAATATTGGCAAAAAACTTCTTATCTGTTTTGCAGGTATGTAACAAAATAACAGGATATTGCAAAAGAAAACACTGAGCTTTCCCTTAAGGTGTCGTGTAGCTTGAACAACATGCTAAGTGTTTTATTGGAATTTATGTAGTAGGCTATGCTTACACTAATTAGCATAATATTGCAATAGAATAAAAATGGTATATGATTCTAATTTGGTTTAACAAAAATAAATTCTGAACGACATGATATGTAGCCTTTATCAATCATTTCCACTTTTTATTCCCTAAAAGACCTCAGAGAATAGTTAAAAATTTTCTAAGCAAACAGCATCATCAAAACAAAGAAATACACTGACCTGAAGCTGAAAAATTGGGGAAAAAAAACAACAAAAAAACAAACAAAAACACATGGGAATGAGAACAGGAAATAATTATAAAAGGAAATGCTTTTCAACTGGCCTTGCTGTCTTAGTGTTCATTTGAGCCTTAATTAATTTTGGGGAAAGAGGCCATTAATCAGTAGGACCACGATCTGGAAGAGCTGCAGACATTCACAGATCAGGTGGAAGAATGTGTTCACTAAACTACTATACAATGGCACCAACTCCAAACATAGTTTTTGTGGAAGAGTGAAAAATGATTTCCCTGTTCAATTTGCCACAAGCCCGCCTGGGGATACATATCATTCAAGGCAAAGAAGATGCTGTGATCATAAAGTTTCACAACTTTATGTATTATTTTTAAAATGCTATTTAACTTTTGTCTTGTACAAAGTTATAACATGGGCAGGTGAAAATTATTTGTGGCATGTGCTATTATTTTCAGCAGGACAGGGAAGCTGGTCAGAGCTGAAGGTAAGCGAGACGGAGCTTAATGCATTCCTGGAAGACAAACATAACAAGTTCAACTTTTTGAACAAAATCAGACCTACAATGCAATGGTTTAGATCAAAGTATGTTCCATAAATTATAAAACTAAATAATATAAATAATAAAACTTAATATAACTCTAAATAAAAACTTCTGGTTGGAAATTTTTTGAAGAAAGAATGAGAAAATATTTAGTTGTCCAAAGGGACTGAACACATGTTCACAGCACACTTTTCAGATTTCAATGAAATAAAAAAAAAATTAAAAAATGCAATGAAGTCTTTGTGCGTTTAAAAACAAAATGCAAAAGAAAATTAAGAACAATAGAAAAAAAATGTCAAAAGCATTGTAGCTAACTGTCTTTATTTGATAACTATGTACTTATGCTGATAACATTGCTACTAGTGTCAATGCAGTGGGTTAATTTATGTCTGTACTTTTATATAGGCAGTGCAGATAGGTGTGTGTGGCTCAGATGTCAGCATTTGGGTTGTGTGGTCGAAGCTGGCCCCACAGACAGTCATTAAAGCCCAGCAGCCCAGGGCTGGAAGGTTAATTCCCCTGCCTGGGGGAAGAAGAGGAGTGGGGTGCTGGGTAGGAGGGAAGCAAGAAGTAAGGATGGAAGGAGGTGGAGGATGAGGTAAAGAGGCGGAGGGGCGGGAGCGGTGGGGGGGGCAATGTGAGGCGAGGGGGCTGTGAAGCTGAGCACTCAGTTCATGCAAACAGCACTGTCAGCAAGAGTGGAGTAGCTCCACTGCCAGATGAAGTAACGGGAGGGAGGGTGCAGGAGCCTGACAGAGAGGTGAGGTGGGGTTGGGAGGGGGCAGTGGGCAAGAGAGCGGTGGGGTTGTAGGAACGGCGTGGACAGAGGGCCTGAAGATGAATGGCAAGAGGGGAGCTAGAACGAAGAGGAGGGAAATACAGTAAGAGGTTGAAAAGAATTCATGTCAGGAGGTTGGACTGGCAGAGGGGGAGATGAAGGGGACATGAACGAGCAAGGTAATGGAGCGAGAGAAACGGATGGAGGAAGGAGGCAGAAAGATACTGTAAAATGGACTGCGGAGTGATGAATTGAAGACGAGGGAGGAACAGGGGAAAGGGAGAGATGGGCGGAAGGAAGGCTGACATGAAGGGTTGTTTTGAAAACCAACAGGAAGCCTACTGACTCAGACCAGTGCGTCAGGGAGAGCACGGAGGAAGATTAATCAAAAGAAAACAATAAGCGCCACAGAGAAAAGCAACACAATGTGGAAAATGGAAAGATGGGGTCATATCCAAGGGATTGATTCAGAAATGTGGAGCAGAATCCAAACTGCATGCTGTACATTACTTTGAAAAGTTGGAGTTCCTACACATGCCTATGAGTGAATGCAGGATTTGCAAAGAAGCGGCAAAAGGCGAGACAAAAATGTGCTGGCACAAACAAAGTGGGCGCTACCAACACAACTTTGCTTTACCATGATATTATTTGGCAGTTTGTATGAAGCAACTTTTAAATATCGAGTTGACTAATTTGAGGTCAAAAGGAAAAGGTGCTTAGAGATTGAACAGTGAAACAGTATATCCAATAAATTAAACTAGACATCACAACTTGTAATATATTTTACATTTATTTTATTTTCTTCTGTTTAAATATAAGATGCATTTTTCAAACTATAGATTACAATCAGTGTATAAACATTGCAAAAAACAAACAAAAAAAAAAAAAGATTAAGGTTGTCTTGGTCGAATGACTTTAAGAATATTCTCCAAATTCACATTTCTTCTAAATCATAAAAAGAGTTTGGACAACCCGGGACTTGCTGTCAATATGAAAAAGATTTGTGTATTTTTTGGGGGCATGGGTAACTGTGCTGTTAACGGTATCACAGCACATATACGTTGAGAGTGGGCTGTGGCTGGCTGGTGAAGTTGTGCCAACAAGTCTTAGTATCAAAAACTGCAAATAAATTACACATGCTTACTGCTGGGTCTTTTAAAAGAGTGTTAAAGAAAGTATAAGATGTAACTCATGAAATAATTGCTTTTTAAATCTCAAACTGCTTTATTTCTGTATAGTAGGGATCAATTGAAATTAGGTTTGATTAACTCAAGTGTTTCAGGTGTTGAACTGGAGATGGTCAAATTGCACAATTTTTTATTTTTTATTTTATTTGGCCATGTCCAAAACGTTCAATGGGCCCAGGCCTATTTCACATG